CTTGACATTCATCATTATATTCAACCCAATTTACACGACGCAGCTGGATCATGGGTAGGTACAGAACTGTTTAAGAACTCTTTTGATACTTCATCAATGTTAGTGGCATGATTAGGGGCATTATTTATATGCCAGTTTTGGTTGTATATACATAAGTTTATTCTAATAATAGTAATTTACAGCTATATATAGTAACTAGAGGGTGCATGTGTGCGCGGGCCTCAAGAGGCCCGCGAGGCGTTGTCGTTGATTTTTTTCATGAAGACGGTTTTCTTTTCGAATAGACTTGGTTGGCAAGTAAATTTGTCCGTTTTGATACGATTAGGTGACTTCCTATTGTAACAGTGAATTTCTGTTTCACGTGTACCATCCTGTGGCGAAACTTTGTATTGTAATGGTCACAATACAAAACCTAACCTAACCTACCTTTCTGTATACTATATTAGTCTGGGGTCAAAGTTTTTAATGTAGAGATCATAATACGAAACCTAACCTAACCTACCTTTTTGTTTACTATATTATTCTGAGGCCATAATTTCTACTGTAAGAGTTGCAATACAAAACCTAACTTAACCTACAAAACTTCCTGTATACTATATCAATTTGGGTTCACAGTTTCTGATGTAGAGAATATATAGTAATGAAGAACAGTATACAAAAATTAGTGATCAGAAGTACAATAGTTGAAGTAAGGCTGTAGAAGAAGTTGTTTTTGTAGATTGTTTCCCGCGCAAATGCAACGCGCCACAGATTCAAAATATTGCACGGCGCGCAGCCGCAGTAGGATGACGAGCGCGCCATGGTAGTATGCGATGTTAGTACTTTTTTTTTTTTTATTGAATGATAATGGAGTGATGCTCCCATGCGCTAACGGTTTATTGGCGGGGCACCAGTGGAGGATGATAAGATGAACATGAAGTCGTAGCTCGTGATAAATTCACCGGGAATTTATCACGATATATTTAAACCGCGTGGAGGTCAATGACATGGTACATATTATGTTATGGGATCATAAGTCCACATTACTAACAATCCCAAGTTCCCCCTGATGTTAGTACTATGAGTATTAACAATCAAACTTATTTGACATTCATCATTATATTCGACCCAATTTATAACATGACGTAGCTGGATCATGGGTAGGTACTGGACATCTTAGAATAGAATAGAAAATCATTTATTCAAATAAACTTAATTTAAGCACTTTTGAATAGTCATAACAATTTATTTTTTATCTACCACTCGTTCGGAAAGCTGTCTCATCACAAGAAGAACGAGCAAGAAACTTGTGTGTTGCTCTTTTAAATAATCCTTGTAAGTTTACATTTACAAGTCGAAACGTGTGAATACAAACTACCAACAAGCACTAATTTTTGGGTCAAATATAAATATGCAATAAGATTAAATCAGTCATAGTGATAAGAGTAGACCAGTCTCTACAAGCAGCGTCCACTATATCCGGATCAAAAGTAACCAGTGTCAGCCAGTTTGACAGCCTCGGTAGTCTAGTGGTTTTACCGCTTTACGTCCGATGGTCGCGGGTTCGATTCCTCGCACGGCCCAAACATTTGTATTCAAGATGGTTTGTATCGGTCTGGGTGTTTTCTATGTATAATATGTATTTATTTACAAAAAAAAAAATGTATGTATGTATTTATATCAGTTGTCTAGTACCCATAACACACGCTCTGCTTAGCTTGGGACTAGATGGCGCTGTGTGAATTGTCAAAATCCTGACATTGAGGGCGACGCAGCTGGAGTCAAGTCACAATTCGAGTTTCAAGGCGTTCGATGAGTTCCAACCAACCCGAGTTTCAACCAACATGCTGCCCACCTTCATGAAGGAGGACTACTGGCCGAAGGGTATGGTGTATCGGCGCTACCGTGGCAGGTTTTTTTTTTGAGGGTTGATAATGGATCGATGCCCCTGCCTGCGCTAACGGTTTACGCTGGCGGGGCACCAGTGGAGGATGATAAGATGAGCATGGGGTCAGGTCAGTTAGCCCATCGTGACAAATTAACCAGGAATTTAACACGATGGTTTCCAGGGGGAACCGCGTGGAGGTCGATATGACATGGTACATTGCTAGCAATGGGGTTATCAATCCACAATCCACATCCAACAATCCCCTTCCCCCCACCGTGGCAGGTTTTTTTTTTTATGTGGATGATAATGGAATAGTGCACCCGCCTGCGCTAACGGTTTACGCTGGCGGGGCACCAGGGGAGGATGATAAGATGATCACGAGGTCAGGTCACCCATCGTGACAAATTCGCCATTTATCACGATGGTTCGCATGGAGGTCAACCTGACATGGTACATTGCGAGCAATGGGGTCATGAGTCCACATTACTAATAATCCCCTTCCCCCCACCGTGGCAGGTTGCCGTCATCAGTACATATTATGTTATCTGTGTCAGTACTGTGACTACAAAGATGTAATTTTATTTTCTATTATATGTGGGTGAAATGAAACAGTTTATGCTGTAAATAATATAAGTGACGTAGTGGAGTAACTTGAAACAGTCATGCTCGCTATAAAGTTCAAACTTGTGGCGGCGTGGTGGGCGGGTCGATGTGCTCCCTCTAATATGGTTGAGTGCAATGATGGCTGGCTCATCCGTCATACTCGTGAACGGGTGCTGCTTGTGGGGACTGGTCTGTTCAGGTTGCGAACACTGATTAAATTTTTTGATTTTTTTTCTTTTTTTATATAGCATATGCTGGTGGTCACTCTATTCTCGTAAATTAAATTAATAAACAATTCAAACGGGGATGTATGACTGTATGTCTGTTTGTTTAAACGACTGACCGGACTTTAGTGAAAGATGTGAACATAAATTGTGTCAGGTGAACAGACATATACTTACTAGCTTAGCCCTCAGTTTCACCCGCGTTTAATTTCAATAAAAAATATAGCCTATATGTTATTCTGATGCATAAGCTATATTACTGTAAAGTTTCATCCAAATCCGTTCAGTAGTTTTTGCGTGAAAGAGTAACAAACATCCGTACTTACAAACTTTCACGTTTATAATATTAGTAAGATATCAATCAAATAAAAAACTTTTACTTTTGTATATTTATTGTAATAACAATCAGATTAAAACATACAATCATAACAACAGAATAACAACTTCATTTAACAATATTATTAGAGGCGGTATAACAATACTGTATCGTATATAAAAATTAACATTTGCTGATCCCATTGTGATAAAACTTTGTTAATTTATTCCTTATATTGCAGGACGGAGGGACATTACAAATAACTTACACGTCACGCGTCTTGTATTGGAATAGAAAATAATAATAATAATAATCTCAGGACAATTCACACAGCGCCATCTAGACCCAAGTTAAGCTAACTAAAGCTTGTGTTATGGGTACTAGATAACTGATACAAATACATAGATATTTTTAAAATCTATTTTGATACAACAATCATATATTTATGAATACCTATACTTCATAAATTTTGTTTTAATGCGTTTTAAATAAACACCCAAATATTATATCTGTATAACCAATAAAAATGGATAATTAATATATATTCCGATAGCGCCACAACCCTATTTAAAAAATGCAAAATCTTGGCAACATCGGAACCGTCAAACTGTCTCCGAGATTAAAAAGCAGACCATAGCCAAGTGATATACATACATAAATATTTGATTTATGGAAATTCACCACATTGACCTCCATTGATCCATTGCTGTCTCGCGGGCTCTAAAATATTGTATGAAAACCTTAACATTAAAAATTTAAGCGTAATCAAAGATGTATCTACTTAACAAACTAGGTATATAAATAAATTATAATTATTAAAAATAATAAAACAATTAACATAATTTTATTGTAATAATTAATATTAAATTTATCACATAAAATTATATGAAACTAAAATACCCACAGTGGCTTTGTCTAGTTAGTTAGCTTCTCAATACATTTATGAAAATATCATGTATGCTGGAAGAATATAGACAGTTTCAAAAGAGTTAGTGATTGCACCAATAAAAGCTTACGTAACAATAACAAACTGATTTTACCTAAATGTCGTTTGGCTAAAGTTAGTAATTCGTTTTATGGCAATTGCGTAAGATTTTACAATAAAATACCAGAGTTCGCGAGCGAAGCTGCGGATTAAAGCTTCAACATCTATAAAGGAAACGAAGTTAATTAGAAAGTAATCTTGAGCTTTAGCCTGACAGTTGTGTTTGGTATAAATAATAAATAATAATGTTTTTATAGAAAAACTTTAAATACATAGCACTGACAATATTATCTGATTACATTAATAATGATTATCGCATGCCTCTTACTTGTTATACTGTAATTATTTATATAAAAAAAAACATCTATTAAAAAGAGCAACACACAAGTTTCTTGCTCATTCTTCTTGTAATGAATCTGCATTCCGAATGAGTGGTAGAATCAAAATATGACTATTCAAAAGTGCTTGTAATGAGTTTATTTGAATAAAGATTATTTCTATTTCTAGTCTAGACCAGGTTAGGCGAACCAATGGCAAGCGTGCCATATTTTGGGCACGTCGTCGATCATAAAACTGTTTGAAGAAGCTGGCTCATGCTATTTTAACAATATTTCCACCTACCTATGCCTGCGAGTCATTATTTTCAGAGATGAATAACATTAAAAACTCGGTTAGAAACCGTTTGACAGATGAATCCAGTTCAGCATGCATTTTGCTAAAAGTAACATCGTACAAGCCTGACATAAATTATTTGTCATCTAACCTGCAGCAACAGAAGTCACACTGATTTTACAGAAATTTAATTCATGCGTGTAATGAAAACAATCCAAAATGTATCTCTTTTGTTTACTTTACTTCATAGAGAGTTTTGATAGTATTTATTATTATTATTTTACAAATAATCAGAAAGTCAAAATTACTTGATGGCACGTCAATGACCCCATTAAACATTTTTTGGAAAAAATAGCACGTTGAGGCATATAGGTTCGCTTACCGTGGTGTAGACGAAACATATCTGCCCTCCGTAACCCTAAAGGGGCGTGTACACACACCTCCCCGTAACCCTAAAGGGGCGTACAGCTCCTTAAACTACAATAAACATTATGTAGCGACACCTCATCACAACATATATAACACTACAGTGATGAGGTGATAACCACCGCGCTACAGAAGTCTGGAGAACTTTTCAAAAGACATACACACATCTCACACTATGTAACATGCACCGAAATTTGTACTTTAATGAGCATTTTTGCTATCTGTCTACCCCATTTAGGATTGCAGTCTTAAGGAGTATTATTTTTATGAAAATCATAAGTTACATCTGGAATTCGGCGTTATCTTCTCTTGAATTATTCCTGAAATTAAATGAAATAAATTTAAAAAAATATATTTGTGTATCCCAGATCTTATTTAATACTAGCTTTTGCCCGCGGCTTCGCTCGCGTTAATTTATGCCCTTGGGGGTGGAATTTATCCAAATCCTTTCTTAGGGGATGCCTACGTCATAGTAGCTTTATGCATGCAAAGTCTCAGCCCGATCGGTTTAAAATTGACAAAGTTTCATACAAACTTTGGATGTCTACGTCTTAACATATACCTGCATGTAAAATTTCAGCCCGATTCGATCAGTGATTTGCGCTGTGCGTTGATAGATCACAATGTCAGTCAGTCACCTTTGAGTTATATATATTTAGATTTTGTTTTGGTATTTTAAATATAATAAATTTATATGTCTCTGTACAATGTAAAATACCCGCATCTTAGTTTTTTTTTTATGAGTAATAGGGGCTGCCTGAATACCAGCGCTGTATAGGTGCACCTCATTAAGGTTGTACTTACATATATCAGCAACAGCTGAGGCAGCTCCTATTGCCAACTTCCATGTTATTATTTATTTCTTGTTTTATGTCTTATTGTAAATTGTATTATTTGTGTTATATTGGCAATAAATCAATTATCTACCTATCTATCTATAAAAAACAAATACACAGATTTCTTCAGCGGTAAAATAAAGTGATTGATGAATTCTGAGATAAATAATAATAATCTCAGGACAATTCACACAGCGCCATCTAGACCCAAGTTAGGCTAGCTAAAGCTTGTGTTATGGGTACTAGTAACTGATACAGATACATAGATTTTTTTCGTAAATACTATACATAGACAACACCCAGATCTGACCTATTATATTTTATCTATTTATACTGGTGCCCCGCCAGCGTAAACCGTTAGCGAAGAGGAAAGGTCACCTCTGATCCCCCGTCCAATTCAAACGGGGATCGAAATTACGACGGCCTGACCCGAGGTTCGAACCTTTAGCGATGCCCTCAGACTAAAGTCGTATCCGTCAGGCGGGAGTTGGCCTTCAGCCGCTCCATAAGTCCTTCCTTTGGTTTGGAGTGTCATCTGCACTCGCCCCCTATCGTCCGGTGAAGCTGTAAAGGCCAGCTGCGGCCAACAGCATTAGAGTAGTCCGAAAAAAAGGCCGGTAAACACCGTTACAAAAATTGAGTATCGAGTATATAAACTTACTGAGATCATCAGCATGAGAGCATGACTTCAAATGTTCAGTGATTAGTACTTTGAGCGTGGCATTCTCAGTTGTCAGTGCTTTGTTCTTCTCTCTCAACTCTTTCATCTCTATCTCTTGCATCTCCATTGACTTTTTTAACCGCTGCCTGCATACAATAAGAGATAATTTATTTACAACTAGCCGTACTCGCGACTTCGTCCGTGTGGATTTAACTTTATTTTTCTAAAATAAAAGTAGCTTAAGTTACTCCTTACATCAGCTGCCTGCCAAAAAAGTCCTGTCAAAATCGATCCAGCCATTTCAGAGATTTGCCGGAACAAACAGACAGACCGACAAAAATTGTAGAAAATGTTATTTTGGTGTATGTACCGTATTTATGGTAAAAAACGGTTATTTCAATATTACAGACAGACACTCCAATTTTATTTATGTGTATAGACTAGCTTTTGCTCGCGGCTTCGCTCGCGTTAATTTATGCCCTTAGGGGTGGAATTTATCAAAATCCTTTCTTAGCGGATGCCTACGTCATAACATCTACCTGTATGCCAAATTTCAGCCCGATCCGTCCAGTGGTTTGGGCTGTGCGTTGATAAATCACTACGTCAGTCACCTTTGAGTTACAGTGGACCCGCGGTCCGGCCCCTGTCTAATCCGGCCCCCCTTGTAATCCGACATTGTCTATTATTTGTTATTAAATATTACTTTGACAATATACTTCAGAGTGCATATACATACATACATATATAACATAGAATCTTATCACTGGATCTATAATTTGTCGGATTACAAGGTACTCTTTTGTAAAAAACACAATTCGGACTATAAGGGGTCATAGTCAGTGGACTCTATAATCCGACAAATTCGATAGTCCGACACTGCCCTGCAAAACGTTTGTCGGATAACCGGGGGAATCCACTATATATGTATATAATATAAAGAATTGATTAAATAGAAAAATGACATCATCATTGGATTTATAATTTGTCGGATTACAAGGTAAATATTTTGTAAAAATTGGCATTGGTGAATTGCATAAGGTTTTACAATAAAATACCAGAGTCTGTTATAAATCTGCCAGAAAAAAGATTTAAATGTCAAATAAAACAGTTCCTTTGCAAAAAAAAAGCTTACTATAAAATTGAAGAATTCGTTAACGATAATAATGTTTTTATAGAAAAACTTTAAATCTATAGCACTGACAATATTATCTGATTACATTAATAATGAGTGCGTAGCGACTTCTATGTTGATTATCGCATGCCTCTTACTTGTTATACTGTAATTATTTATATAAAAAAAAACATCTATTAAAAAGAGCAACACACAAGTTTCTTGCTCATTCTTCTTGTCATCACAAGAAGAATGAGCAAACATCTGCATTCCGAATGAGTGGTAGAATCAAAATATGACTATTCAAAAGTGCTTGTAATGAGTTTATTTGAATAAAGATTATTGTCATATTTCTATTTCTATTTCTATATTCTATTTCTATATATAATTCGGACTATACCGCTTATAGTCCGAATTCTTATATATATTTATTCATGTATATTCTATAATCCGACAAATTCGATAGTCCGACACAATGCAAAATGATTGTCGAACTACCGGGGGTCCACTGTATATATATATAGGTTAGTAAGTATTATTATAACTTACCTATACCGTCTGGATGCCGCTACTCTACAATCTAAATCGACTTCAGTCAACTGCTTCTTCAGTTTCCCATCAGTCACCACCACACAATCATTACTTGCAACACTCGCACTATCCAGAGCCCTTCTTCTCTTAATGGGCTTCATAACTTCTCTATTAACATTTAATGGTGCTATTGGTATTTTGTTAATATGCGCTGAATTCAATATAGTCACTGGTATCAAAGTAGCTGCTGTAATTGGTAATTGATTTGTCACAGGTATATTCTGCATTATGGGTATATTTGTTTGTTTATTTGCTATAGCCTTCTTAAGTTTCTCTTTCGTATCAGTTTGCAATACAGTCCTATTCTCTGGACTGTTACCGTCAACAGATTTCATCCGAATTTGCTTACCACCGGGTAACGTGATTGTTACCGAATACTCTTCTATATTCTTGTCTATTTGAGATTTAGTCTGTGCTACTTTTCTAGTTTTATTGTCTATGGTCTGATCATTCTTGCATATATCTGATGTGAGGCTGTCTACGACGAAATCGTATGATTTCTGACTCATCATAGGTGGTATTGTCATGTATTTCGTTGGTTCGTTGAACGATACGTCCTTAGTAACATTATTAGTGTCTTTTATAACTGAATCTGTTACAGCCATTGGTCCATTCTTGCTCGTTTCGACGTCTTTGGTAATTTTTATTATGTTATTCGTGTATGACACCGTTTCGTTTAGTATATCTTTATTTCTGTCTGTATGTCTGACTTCGTCGTGTGGTTTGTCTACATCGTGCTTCTCAACTCTTCGGCTGATTGTGGTCACTTCATTTGTAAGTTTCGATATTGTTGTGGTCTCGTATTCTTTGATAACCCCCGATTCATCGCTGGATGATCTGTTAATAATAATATCTCAGGATAATTTACAGCGCCATCTAGTTCCAAGCTAAGCAGAGCTTGTGTTATGGGAAATAGACAACTGATACAAATACATATTTCAATTCACTTTGTAAATACATACACAATATACATAGAAAATACACAGAAGATAATATTTTAAGGAAGGTGTTACATATCAATGTGGATGTTTATAAGGGCAGAGGAAGGCCGAAAAAGAGATGGATGGACTGTGTGAAGATGATATAGATGATATGGTAAGAAAGGAAGTAAATAACGAGATGACTGCGAACAGGGATGAATGAAAGAGAAAAACATATTACATTGTCGATTAAATAGAAAAATGACATCTTTCTAAATAAGAACCTAGAATTGCCTCCTTGTTTATTTAAGGAAGGTGTTAAATATGAATGTAGGTGTAAGGGCAGAGGAAGGCCGAAAAAGAGATGGATGACTGTGTGAATGATGATATGGTAAGAAAGGGAGTAAATAACGAGATGACTGCGAACAGGGATGAAAAGAGATGTCGATTAAATAGATGACTGTGTGAATGATGATATGGTAAGAAAGGGAGTAAATAACGAGATGACTGCGAACAGGGATGAATGAAAGAGAAAAACATATTACATTGTCGATTAAATAGAAAAATGACATCTTTCTAAATAAGAATTGCCTTCTTGTTTATAAATCAATTAAATTAGTCACGCCGTCTTAATCATTATCTAAATGATTAAGTTGCTATTTTAAATAATTATATTCTTACTTTACAATTTAAGTTTAAGTGTGTGAATACAAACCACCGATTAGCACTGTTCAAAATCTACCCTGTACCATCGTAAGCACAGATTATTATATTAGAGTCCGTTAGTTTCTGTTCCCGCGCTTTTACTTCCCCTCCCTTACATATATATACATAGTACTTTCCCTAATATTTTGGTAGCAGAGAGTATTTTCCCTAACAAGCACTAATTCACACTGTCGGCTGTAATCACTATTTCATTGTCAGATTATTGTCATATATTTATGTGTATGGTATATTTTTGTATATATATATTTTTGTGTATATTTGTAGGAATATTTATGTATTTACATGTGTCTATATATATATTTATTCATGTATATTCTATAAAATATTATAATATTGTTTGCACCGCCAACAACTTATCTCTGCACAACTCATGGTTGACTGGTAGAAAATGCCATTAGGTGTTAAGTCCGCCATATGTACTTTTTACCTGTGTATGACGTGCATTAAAGTTATTTAAATAAATAAAAATAAATAATTCAATTAAATAATCAAATAATTACTACACATTACAATCCCTTTCGCCCCGGATATGATGTTATTAATTTACCATGATGGGGTAACTGACCTGACCTCATACTCATCTCGTCAACCTCCATAGATGCCCCGCCAGCGTAGACCGTTAGCTCAGGTGAGGGCACCACTCCATCAAAAATAAAACTAAAACTAAGGGTCCACTAAATATAATTTTGACTACTGCTAATTGACTACCTGCTAATTGTGGTAACTCACGGTATAAGTACACAGGTAGGGGGATACATACATACATACATACATACATACATACATACAATCGGGGAATATAGCGATAGCAGTTGCATCAGTTGCTCTTTTTTTTTCGTTTGTTGTTTATATTGTATTTTTTACATTGCACTGAATAAAATATTTTTCTTTCTTTTCTTTCATCGTCAGGAATTGCTGCAACTCTCTTAACACGTTAAACGCCATTGTAAAAATGACAAAAATATTTTTTTTTTGTATAAAAAAAAATATTTTTATGACATCGGTAAACGTTAAAACGTATTTATTTTTTAATTTGGGATTGAAATTTTTTAAGAAAATAAAGAAAATTCATTTCGGTCACCAGTTGACCGCCGTGGCGCTGTGGGACAAAAACCACATTTTCTATTTGCGTGCGCCGCGAGCTTATGAATGAGTACTGTTGTTGAGCGACGATCCGGTCATTTTAGTACTACAAATGTATGAAAAAATCACGCGCCGGCGCTCAACACATCTCTACAGGTCTCTGAGGTCACGGGTGACCTACATGGCGTTTAACGTGTTAAAGGAAGGAAAAACAGCTGATTCTACTTTTAAACTTCCGCTATCATAGACTGTTAGCGCAGACGAGGGCAGCACTCCATCAAAAATAAAACTATAAGGGTGCACCATTCCACTATCATCCCTTCAAAAACAAACTATAACTAAGGGTCCACTGAATATAATTTTTAAGACTACCTGCTAATTGTGATATTACTCTGGTTGTTGGTGGTACTGTACAGCGCTGAGTCTGCATGGTCGGTTAAGGGGAACACCATCTGCGGTGTGTGAAGGTCGTCGGTCGATGGTGCAATTGCTGATGACTCCATGGGTGGTAAGCCATGCCTGTAAAGATTATGAGGCATAATAATAATCATTACATAGAATAGAATAGAAAGAATAGAAAATCATTTATTCAAATAAACTTAATTTAAGCACTTTTGAATAGTCAACATTTTTTTTTAAATCTACCGCTTATTCGGAAAGCTGTCTCATCACAAGAAGAATAAGCAAGAAACTTGTGTGTTGCTCTTTTAAACAATCCTTGTAAGTTCACATTTTACAAGTCGAAACGTGTGAATACAAACCACCAACCAGCACTAATTTATTTAGGCTCAAATATAAAAACACAATAAGATTAAATCAGTCGTAGTGATAAGAGCAGACCAGTCCCTACAAGCAGCACTCGTTCACGAGTATGACGGATGAGCCAGCCATCACTGCGCTCGACATAGTATAAAACTGTCCGTCCCTATGTATGCTTAAACCTTTTGAACTACGCAACGGATTTTGAAGTTGTATTTTTTAGTAGATACGAGTGATTCAAGAGGAAGGTTTATATGTATAATAAATGTACACCCGGGTGAAGTCGGGGCGAGTAGCTAGTATAACATATAGGGAAAAATTATAATACAAAAAAAATATACGTTCATAAGCAGCTAAAATGTCCTACATAAATAAATTATTTATGAATTTGAATAATAAGTGTCCTAGAGTGACTTCGTGACTTCGTCCGCGTGGAATTTAACTATATTTTTCTTAAAATAAAACCTATCAAAAATAGTCCCGCCAAAATCGGTCATACCATTTCAGAAATTAGCTGAAACAGACAGACAGACAGACAAAAATTGGGAAAAATGTTATTTTGTTGAATGTACCGTATTTATATTCATATGCATGTAGTAAAAAACTGTTATTTCAATATTATAAACAGATACTTCAATTTTATTTATATGTATAGATGTTGCCAATTACAATAAATTGAATGGTCAGTTTGTTTGCAACTCTATTCATATAAAAGAGATAAATTCAATTATATCATAATTTGTTATACAGAAGCTATAATAAATAATATTAATCTCAGGACAATTCACACAGCGCCATCAAGACCCAAGTTAAGCTAGCTAAAGCTCGTGTTATGGGTACTAGATAACTGATACAAATACATAGATATTTTTTTTGTAAATAAATACATATTATACATAGAAAACACCCAGACCGATACAAACAATCATACTCATGAATACAAATGTTTGTAACGCGCGAGCTGCAACTATTGGATGTAAAGCAGTGTGCTAAACTACTACACCACCGAGGTTGTGTGTTGAATGAATGTTACAATTAAGTTGTCTGTGTAATACTCACTTGACCGACTCCATAGCCCTCTTGAATCCCTCATCGAAGGGGTTCTCCTCACTCTGCAGGTCCAGGAATAACCCCACCTCTTCACAGTTTCTGATGAACCGCGTCGGAGTAGGGGTCTGATCTGTAATAGCATACTCAACTGAGATAAAGATACTATTACTCACTAAATGGTTACTTGAATGACGAGCTTGCATGGCAATAGTTATTCATGCACGGGATTTTAATTTAATGTTAGACATAGACACCTATGTTACAATACATGGACTTTGGTGTTAGGCAAACGCAATGCTCCACCGCTGATGCAGCGGAACGTGCACCAGCACCGGCAACGTGACTTCGCGGTTGCGCAAATGTGCAACCGAACCTGGTTTCTGCCCGCCACTTCTATTCATATTCACTTTCCAGTCCAGCTGTCCCCAAGTATCGTTTAGAAAAAGTCAATAGGTCTTTTATGGGAATTGGTATAAAAATTTACAATAAGATACCAAAGGATATATTCGAATTACCCTTAAATAAATTCAAAACATCTGTTAAATCATATTTACTGAGCAAAGACTATTACTCACTAAACAATTACTTAAATGACGAGCGTGCATGGCAATAGTTGTTCATGCACGGGATTTTCATTTAATGTTAGACATAGACACCTATATAAATATACTTTGTAAATAAACTGGCTTTAAAAAAAATTCAATGGAGTTTCTTGCCAGTTCTTCTCAATTGGATCTATATACCGAACTGGATGGTAGGGGAATAAAATAAAATTAGAATGTAAAAATTTGACTATCATAAGCGGCTGAAATGTCCTACATGAAGAAATTATTTTTTAATTTGAATTTGTAATTATTATATAAAAACATCTATTCAAAAGAGCAATATGTAGTTATGAGTATAAGAGTATGTGTAATTATTAACATACTCAGTGATGATATCTTTATCTTTTATTGTAGGGACTGGTCTGCTCTTATCACTACGACTGATTTAATCTTATTGTGTTTTTATATTTGAGCCTAAATAAATTAGTGCTGGTTGGTAGTTTGTATTCACACGTTTCGACTTGTAAAATGTGAACTTACAAGGATTGTTTAAAAGAGCAACACACAAGTTTCTTGCTTATTCTTCTTGTGATGAGCTTTCCGAATGAGTGGTATATTAAAAAAACTGTGATTGATTAAATTATTTTCTATTCTATTCTATTCTTTAATCTCTATAGGTTGGCAGTTTGACATTACTTCGGTTTTGGTGGTGTTAACAATTAACTAGTTATATTACTTACCAACAAAAGCAGCTTTCTGCTCCTGTCCAAACTGCAACATCATATCATGTTTCTTCGTATGCACATGTAAGTGATCCTCATTTGTGAATGTCTGTCCACAATCAGCTATGGTACACGCGAACGGCTTCTCAGGCTCCACCATTGTGTCTTTTATTCACAATTAAACGAATAACTAAGTTTAAGACCTTAAATATAAGATCAACAAGTTATCAACTTCAATAAATTACTTCACATAGTTCTTTTGTAATAAAATTATTATGTATTTATACAATTCATATGACGAGGGTTTAACTCGGTTAAAATGTAATTAAAACTTTGAAATAAATAAAACATATTTTTTTTTGTAAATAAAGAAACATATTTTATCACAATTTCATGTACGTGCTGCTGATAAACTGACTGATTGTTTTTTTATTTTGTTTATCATAAAATGAAAAGGCAAAGGGAACTGTGCCTATACAGCCATGTACCAGACACGGTGTCATTCAGATATTTTAAATATTTGAAATTAGACTTTAATAACACAGGTATAAAGTGGACTTTCCAAAATTTTATAATTTTTGAGTTATACCAATATTATAATAAATGTGCGATATGTCTTTTTGATATTCTAAAGATTCGTAGTTGAATTTATATCTTGAATTGTTTATATAATGTAATTGAAAAAAACAAAATAACAATTCTTAAGCCTCCTAATAGTTTCTTAAAGTGACTGCATTCCCGTTAAACCCAAAAATCCTAATCTTAGGAATGAGGGAATGCTGTATCTTCTATGTGAATGATAATATTTACTATAGCTGTCAATGTCAATAGTTGCAACTTTAGCCCATTTCAGTGAACATTTTAAGTAATTGGCAGTTTTCTAAACAGGGTTGTCATCCTATCGTCGATTCGGTTTACTAATTACTGCTAATTACTTTACTCATTGGCTTTAGTAAACCAGTATTTAGTATAAAAATAATTCTTATTCCAAATTGTCAAGTAATACGTCATATAAAAGACCTAAATATGTTTCATTATAAAGTTTAATTAAGATTTACTTTTTTACTACCGCTGATTTTTTCTCTTAATATTTCAATACATTTAGGTCAGAGAAACAAGATGTTAAAAGAATGAATTTTCAGTGTTACCATATTGACGTAATTTTATTAATATGAATAATGATTTCTATGCGCTGTTGCGTGATTGTTTAATAAAACTAAGAATAATAGTTAACATTTATTAGATAATAATAATAACAAATCACAATAATAATGCTATATTTATTACATAACGTATAACGTAACAAAAACACAGCAACAACAAAATAAATTGAGTTACATAAGCATATCATTAATTTATTTGCATTGATTTAGTTTTTTTTAATGTGAAAATATATTTTTATACTGCTTAAATATACAAAGTTATAATGTAAGTGACATTTATTTATCTTGGATTTATGACGAATTAAACAGTAACTTCGGATTTGACAATCCTTTGACATTATTTGAGAAATACGATGTATATTTCTCTGGAGTATAACCGTGTATTTTGACTTGGCTGTGGGGCTGGTAGGAGCCCGTTTCCCGCGCTAAACTTCTATCAAATAAGGGGTACACGGTTGATCGTTTCTTTCTCGGTGATTCCTGCATTTGCTGGCTGGGGTAAGGGTCTACATATCGCCTTCCGTTAATATCGCTGCCATCCGCTGTCGGGAATATCGTTGGCTAAATTAATGAAATACTTTTTATTAAAGTATTTTGTACATTTTTATCGTATGTTAATAATTAATAGTAACTTGTATTCATAAAAATGAATTCATTTTAACAATTTAATAGATATTTAGTAGATTTTCTGTTTGAAAGATCGAAAAAAGATAAATAGTATAATTACTTTTTTTGTTAAGTTTTTCCCGTTTCAGGGAAAGGCAAAAGGACTCTGCCCATACAGCCATTGTCGTACGTAGATTCCATATAATCTCGTAGTTTTTTGTGATAAGTGTGAAGTGATATATTAAATAGGCAAAGCAGTATAGTATCGTTCCCAAATGAATGTGTTATTCATAATTATTAACAAATTTAATTAATATTCTCCAATTTAGCTAAATTACGATGGGACTTTCATGAAATTAAATAATCATTTATATTTATAATGAATTAAAATTATATATTTAATTATAAAATGAAACATTTCCCACGAATACATAGATATTTTGCTACTTGTTGAGTATTTTTTAATTGATCACCACTGAGTTGTGTCACCGCTTAATAGTACTTTAGCTTGCTTGCCTGCGCCTCTGTTGTTGAACATCCCCGGAGCTGGTTGACCTTGGGGCTCGTTGTTGATGGTGTTTTGCTGGATAGCACCCATGCCTACGACTGCTGGGTTTGGCTCATTCTGTTGTCCTTTCCATGGCCTAATAGAAGAAATCAGTTCAATGTTTATTTTGTTTTTTTTTTATACTACTATGGTGGCAAACAAGCATACGGCCCATCTGATGGTAAAGGAATACCGTAGCCTAAGAACGCCTGAAACACCAGGGGTGTCACGTACGCGTTGCCAACCCTTAAGAAACCTTGATATACCCTTCTTGAAAAACCCCATGCTGTAGTCTCGTGAGAAAACCTCGGCAGGAAGTTCATTCCACAATCTAAGTGTACGCGGGAGGAAGCTCTGAAACCGCACTGTGTTTATTACTTTTCTATTGTTAATTAATAATATCTAAATAATTACTTAAAGTGCATTTTTTTTAATACCTAAACATAGAAAATACTATCAGTTACTCGATACTCATTACGCGTGAAATATAACTCTTTTTTATTAAAATGAAAGTACCTTAAGTTATTCTTTATAACATTACCTATTTACGAGTGAAAGATATTAGGATCATATCTTTCAATTCCCTTGATTATTTTATATATGAAATCCAGAAGTGATATGTCGTCTTACCTTAAGGGTATTATATCTCAACATACCTAACAAGAAAAGATAAGAAAGTTATGACCCCCCGCGGATCTCCATAGTGCTTACGTAATACTTGAATGGCCCCTTACCACCAGGTGGGTCGTGGGTCGTCTGACTGTTGGTCATTCCTATAACTTAAAAAAAATCTACTCACTTGTCAGGGAAGAGTTCGCCTGGTTGGCCTCTGGTCTGAACAATCCGTTCACCATTGAGTTCTACGACGCATCTCAAGCGGGCGCAACAGGTAGGAAATTCTGGCAAGAAATTTAGTTAATTAACCTTTATAAGAATTATCCGTACCCCCTTAAGAAGGTGATGGTTGGGGGTTCAAATTGAATGAATAGAAAAGAATAGAAAATGAACCAGATGAGTCTCTAAGAGGGTACAGGTTGAGGACTCGTGGCGAGCCCCTTTAGCCTGGCATTGACTCCGGGGCCGAACAATCCTCGGGGGACTAGATGTAAGCTCTTTTATATGTAAAGAATTAAAAAGAAATAGGGTATTAGGATTACAATATACAGCTTAAACTAACTTAAAGACTAGTGCCATTATTGAGGTTTTTTTTTAATTAAAGTTTTGCTTTTAGTTTTTTTTTTACGTATATAAACAGCTCGACCTAGATGGCGCCGTATACGTAACAGCGCCATCTAGACCCAAGTTAAGCTAGCTAAAGCTATGTTATGGGTACTAGATAACTGATACAAATACATAGATATTTTTTTCGTAAATACATACATATTATACATAGAAAATACCCAGACCTAAAAAACAATCATACTCAAATGAATATAAAATATTTGTGCCGAACCAGGAATCGAACCGGCGACCATCGGAAGTAAAGCGGTGTGCTAAACCGCTAGACCACCGGGGCTTATACATAATGTCTATAAATATAATATGAAAGAAATAAATACAATAAAATCATACAAACAATACGCACCAACGTTTTCATCCTCAATATATTCGTGACATTCCAAGGCGTTCTCAGGAATTTTGGGCTTGCGACACCTAGATGGATGGATGGACAAAATGGATGTTCATGAAAATCTATGAATAAATAACCCTGGACAATTAACACAGTGCCACCTAGTCCGATGGTAAGCAGAGCTTGTGTTATGGGTACTAAACCAACTGATATAAATATTTAGATATTTTTTTGTAAATACATAGAAAATACCTAATATAAACAATCATACTCGTGACGTGCGAGGAATCCAATCTGTAACTATTGGATGTAAACTTTTTTTTTATACTACGATGGTAGCAATCAAACATACGGCCCATCTGATGGTTAAATGGCTACCGTAGCCTGTGATCGCCTGAAACACAAGGGGGGGAAACGGGGTCAACGGCAGCAAAATTCGAAAAACTTTGGATAAACTTTGGATAAACCGGGGAAGTATTGTTTTTATTTATATGTTTACCTTTGATTGAGTAATCTATTTAATCAATAAACTACCTCTTAATATAAATACTTTCTTGCTAATCTAAATAATTAGATTGTCATCAATTCATCACATGCTATAGATCGTTTGTTATATACAAATTCTTTGAATGTTGTTTTATTTATAGAAAAATAAGTATCTAGATTTACCATTTTTTACTCATTTTATTCCTAAAGTAATATTAGAAATATTTAACAATAATTGCGACTTACAAAATACACTCCTAACTACCTACATAATAGTACTAACGATTCGTTTATTTTGTCTTTACTGTACTCCCTGACAATTTCTAGTATATTTTCTTAATTAATAATTAATACATAAATATAAAATAATACACAACTACAAAATTGTTTTATAAATTATTAAATTGTCAAGTAATCTTATATATTAACTCCCTAATCAGCCTTACTAAATTGTATATTTTCAATACTCATCTGTTTTATCTTTACTATGTTTCCAGTAAAAATGGTCACTCGCAGTAAGGACTTGGATGTGAAATTGAAGAAGGCTTTACAGGAGTTAAAAGACAAGAAGGAACTATGTGACAAATTAATTCAGGAACGGGATGAGGGGGAGGTAGAAATATCAAATATAGTACATAAAAATACTATATTAAAGCAAAACTTGGCTGAATTAGACTGTAAATTTCAAAATGTACAAAAAGAACGGGATCAACTGCAGTTTCTTGTCGACTCCTTTGACCAGTGCCGGAATGCTCATGACTGTGCACTCAACCGCATCCATGAATTAGAATGTGAATTGTCAGAAGCATATAATAAAATTAACACATTGACCACAAAAATGGGAGACCAAGCAGCAGAAAAGACTATGACATTATATGCCGAGTTGATCGAACAAAGTGTATGTGATGAGCCTGACCCTGTCCACTCCATCTCCGACACACAGAAGCCTTTTGTACAACAGAAGCGAGTAAGGCACCCTCTAACTAATTACAATAGTAAGAATTATAGAAAAATAAGCAGACAAATTAAAAGATTAAGAAAATCTTTCAAACTTAATCAAACTGCCTTATCAAAATTAGTAAAAGAAAAAGAATTTAATTTTGAAAAACAATTAGAATATTATGAAAATCAGTTCTGGACCCATAAATTACAGTTTGATACAAATACTACAAGGTTATTATTGCATATAAAAGAACTGGAAACATCATTGGATGCTATTAGTGACAAGTACTCACATGCTCAGTTTCAAATATCAAAACATAATGTTGTGATGAAGGAATTGCTTGAATTTAACTCAAAAAGTGAAAGTGGAACATCAGAACAACTGTCACAGCAACATGCAGACTGCAACACTATGTCGGGCAATTACACATCACCTTCATCAACATCCATTGTCACTCCGGAACAAACAAATATACTACCCAATGTTGTTAGTAGTCACCACACATGTAAGAATAACACTGTAATATATTCAGATAGTATAGGAATAAATCTAGGATCGCTCATGAATAACTGTTTGAGTGAACATATCCAAAACAATTGTATGCCGAATGCCCCATTTAATTATATAGTTGATAGAATGTTAAAAAATCAAAATAGTTATACTGAATACACAACTATTGTGTTATTCATTGGAAATAGTTTAGGTATCACTCAAAATGATTTGATGAACTTATTTGAATCTGTCTCAAATATGAGAATTAAAAAATTTGTAATATGTACATTTCCATACTCAAAATCATTATCAAAGAATAGAAATAATTATATCTTTAAACTTAACACTCATATATATAACATGAGCTGTTATAATGACAACATTCATTGTTTTGATACAAATAAATTTGTAAAAAAATTTACATTGACTAAAAATATTTTGTATTTGTCACATTTTGATAAAAGACATATAGCTACTTTGTTAGCTTATAATATACACAATCCTGTTATAAGTAGTATAACGGGTATTTATTCTGACTGCACAGTTTTTAGTAGTTTTACTAATGTTTCTGTGCAAGAATCTTTAAACTTAAGTTACAGACAAAGAGAAAGCCATCACAACTAAATTTAGTACATCAAAATATTCAAGGCTTTCTTGGCAAAGAATTAGAGATAGAATTATTTATAAGTAAATTTAATATTGACATTGTATGCCTCACAGAACATTGGTTGAAACAGTCCAACATGGTATTTCAGTTACCAAATTATGAAATATTGAGTACATTTACTCGGCAAATTTCAATTAGAGGTGGTTCAATTATTTTATTAAAAAATAACATTAAAGGGAAAGAACGTAAAGATATTGTAGCCCTTTCAAATGAATGCATTATAGAATTATCATGTGTAGAACTAGAGAAACACATAATTATATGTGTGTATAGGCCTCCTAACTCAGACTATGAAAAATTTGAGTCTACCATGGAAGATGTACTGAAGTTAGCATTCAAAAGTAACAAATTTATTTTGGTATGTGGGGATTTCAATATAGATCTTCTTGTTGATAGTCCTATAAGTAATAAAATTAGAAACCTTTTTAAAAGTTTTGATCTGGATCATATTTTCTTTGAACCTACTAGGATTACATCCACTACGGCAACATGTATTGATAATATATATTGTAATTTTAGTATTTTAAATAAATCGATTATAAATAGATTGCCGTCAGACCATTGTGGACAAATAGTAACATTCGCATGTAATGAAAAAAACGAGATTATGTATAAGTTCTACAGACCAACAACAGCATTTAAATTACAGAATTTTAAAAACAGATTAAATGGAAGTTTACCGTTTTTGATATTTGGTAATATTGATCCAAATATATCATATAATCGTTTTTTCAATATAATAAAAAATCATTTTGATAAAAATTTTACAGTAAAGAAACTTAAAGTAAATAATTCTAAGTACGCTGAATGGTCAACATTAGGTATCAATATAAGTAGGGAAAATATGTATCAATTATATGATATTAGATCATATTTGCGTGATCCTATATTCTATGAATATGTCAAAAATTATTCAAAGTTATTCAAAAAAGTATGTAAGGCCGCCAAGGCACTTTATTTAAAGAATAAAATTAAGTTTTCTAAAAATAAAATAAAAACTACCTGGAATATAATAAATACAGAAACAGGTAACATTAAGTCGCGCCAGTCAGAATATGAGTTAAAAGCAGAAAATGGCGTTATTATTGATAATAATGAACTAGTTGCTCAAACTTTTGATAATTTCTTTTCAACAATACCTCTCAAAGCTACGGAAAATTTAAACTCGTCACCTAGTTTAGCTGAAACATTATTAAAAAATACCATAAATCCTTGCGTTCATGACTTTACTTTTCATCATATCAGTTGCTCCTGTGTGATAAAAACGTTCAACGCTCTCAATCTAAAAGGAACTGAGGATATCTGGGGTATGTCAGTTAGAGTCATGAAAACTGTAATAAGTGAAGTTGCTTCACATTTAACTGAAATATTTAATATGAGCATTGATCAAGGTATTTTTCCAGATCTAATGAAAGTGAGTAAAATAATACCGCTATTTAAATCTGGTGACAAAGACAATATATCAAATTTTAGACCTATCTCAATTTTACCAGTATTTAGTAAGATTTTTGAAAAGATACTACTTACACAAATGTTAGCTCATTTTAATACACATGATTTATTTCATAAACAGCAATTTGGATTTATGAGTGGACGGTCTACTACTGATGCAGGCATTAACTTAATACAAAGTATTTTCGGTGCCTGGGAAGATTCACAGGATGCCATTGGTGTCTTCTGTGATCTCTCTAAAGCGTTTGATTGCGTTGACCATAGGATATTATTACGCAAACTAGAGCATTATGGAATTAGAGAAAAATCCTCAGAACTCATTAGATCATATTTGCGCGATAGAATTCAAGTGGTAGACATTAAAGGAAGCAAGTCCAAGGGGTCATTTATAAAAATGGGTGTACCACAGGGTTCTATACTTGGCCCATTTCTTTTTCTTGTTTATATAAATGACTTACCATACCAGTTTCAAAACATACTTGACATAGTATTGTTTGCTGATGACACATCACTTATTTTCAAAGTGAAAAGAAATACAAAGGATTTTAATAATATAAATATTGCTCTTGAGGATGTTCTAAACTGGTTTACATCAAATAATCTAGCGCTTAATTCAATGAAAACAAAATGTGTTAAATTCTCTTTACCAAATGTAAAACAAGTAACGACAACTGTTAGTATGAATCATCATGTTTTGGACTTTGTTGATGAGACTTCGTTTCTTGGTATTGTAATAGATAATAAATTGCAGTGGGGTCCACATATATTCACACTAGCTAAAAGACTAAGCTCGGCTGCTTTTGCTATCAGAAAAATTAGACAATTGACTGATACTGCAACAGCGAAACTAGTGTATTTTAGTTACTTCCATAGTATAATGTCGTATGGTATTATATTGTGGGGAAGAGCGGCTGATGTAGAATCAATTTTTATATTACAAAAAAGAGCAATTCGTTCAATATATAATTTACCGTGTCGCGAATCTCTTAGAGAACGCTTTAAAGAAACAGGTATTCTTACTGTTCCCTCTCAATATATATATGAAAATATTATGTATGTACGCAAAAACTTAAATTTATTTCCAAAAAATAGTCACTTACACGCTTTTAATACAAGGAATAAAAATAAATTAAATATGCCTAGTTATCGTCTCAAAAAAGTAAGTACATCTTTCATGGGACATTGTATACGTTTTTATAATAAATTGCCAGATAGTGTTTTAAATTTAAGTGAAGCCAAATTTAAGATACATGTAAAAAAAACACTTTGCTCTAAAGCTTATTATAAAATAAACGACTACTTAAATGACTACAATGTGTGGACTTAATTACAATTTTAACTTTTGTTATGAGGCATATAATTTTTCCCATTGACATGGATAATGTAATAACAATAAAGAAACTTATTATAAATTTTGTAATGACATATTGTAAATTAAATAATGTAAATTTAATATTGTAATGGGTGAAAACTGTGATCGGTACAGCCTATGCTGTAAATAATATAATTGACGTAGTGGAGTAACCTGAAACAGTCATGCTCGCTATAAAGTTCAAACTTGTGGCGGCGTGGTGGGCCGGGTCGATGTGCTCCCTCAAATATGGTTGAGTACAATGATGGCTGGCTCATACGTCATACTCGTGAACGGGTGCTGCTTGTGGGGACTGGTCTGTTCAGGTTGTGAACACTGATTAAATTTTTTGTTCTTTGCGATAGCATATGCTGGTGGTCACTCTATTCTCCCAAATTTGAATTTTAATAACTGTATTTATCATAAACATGTTCCACTATTATTTGAAAAAAATTACGAGCTGAGTTTCTTGTCAGTTCTTCTCATCTCGATATCATTCCGAACTGACGGTAGATTTGACATATCATAAGAGTCTGTAATAGACCTACATGAATAAAGATATTTTGAATTTTGAATTTTGAATTTTGGGTATCACGAGCGCGTTGCCGACCCTTAAGAAACCTTAACATACCCTTCTTGAAAAATCATTAATTGTACCTATACAACCATCTGGTCCGTCGAGCCGGATAATTTAAGTACTACATTCGAACCTACTATCCTATCCTGATCATCTGGATGAATGGCGGTCTTCCACAGTACGGTTTTCTAGAAACTTTTTGCCTCGCACAACCACATTGTGGAATCACCTTCCAGCAATGGTATTTCCGAACCGATACGATATTGAAACCTTCAAGAAACTAATGAAAATGGTTACCGTAGGCTGTGAACGCCTGAAACACCAGGGGTATCCCTTGCGCGTTGCCGACCCTTAAGAAACCTTAATATACCCTTCTTGAAAAACCCCACGCTGTAGTCTCGTGGGAAAACCTCGGCAGGAAGTTCATTCCACACTCTAAGTGTCTTGTGTGACATCCGCATCCGCATCGATTATTGCGGATGCGTAAGTGGTTGCGGATGTATAAATCAATGCGGAAGTTCCGCATTTGCGAATGTAGATGCGTATATTCGCGACGTCCCTGATTTGAAGAAAGATTTCTATATTGCAACGAGAGACTATTATATTATATAATTTCTTCTTTCACTTATATGTATTTTTCACTTCGAGCATCTAAACCGAACTGGTCTGTGCACACAATATGGTGGTTCTTTTTAAAGTCAGTAGGTAGGTGGGACTGTTATGGTCAAATCAGAACTTATATCTTGTACTCAATAATAAACATGATTGTATCAAACTTCTAGAACGTACATTTTATGTCATAATTATAATTAGATTTAATCTTTACTATTTATATATTTACTTTACAGTTTATAAGCATAAATAATATTTATTAAATAAAAATATATTGTTGTGGTTATCTCGCTCAAACCAGATGGCGTTGTAGTCGCTGAAATCTGCTTTAGCGGGGCAAGATGGCGAACGGTTGCCGTTGGCGGGAACACTATCTATTTACGTATTAACAATTAGTATATGTACTAACCCAACCGCAGCAATGAAATACTTCCCATCTCTGATCTCGCAACGGTAACGGTGACACGTGTAGTGGTCCGACCACTCCTGCCACGGTTGGTAGCCTTTCCTCGAGTATTTATCCACGCAGGCTTGGTCTGCAAATGTATATTTGTACAGCCCTCACTCTATTTAATAAAAGTGACAAATCATTTATTCATGCAAGACATTTAGCGACTATGAAATTGATTTAATAATATAAATTAATCTTGTTTTGGTGCTGAGAATAGGTACTCATCCCATCTCACCTTCAAATGGTGTACATCACAACCCTACTTTGCATATCCCACCTTATTTATTAAAATCATAATGATTCAATGATTCAATTATATATTTATAACAAATACTTTGTATCATAAATTATATTATTGAGATATATATGTATGTATCTCACAGTTATTACTCCGTCATATACCAATAAAAGAATCTATAGTTACTACATATACACAACAGGTTCACCGATACCAGACTTTCACAAATTATTATTTATATGGCCAAATGATTGAGTAAATTTTATTGCGATATATATGATTTGTTAGTTATACCAATAAAAGAATCTACTAGTTCAATTATACAACAGCAGTATTTTATAAGAGAGAATGAAATTGTTTCTTCATGTTCGAAAAATCATTTCAATTTAGAAAGGGGGGGGGGGGGGGGGTAAATCATTTCTATCGATAAAACACTCGTTGCCAACATTTTTGATAAAAAGTAAAAACGTATAATCTTTTAATTTATTGGTTTGTTACACTAGTTTGGTTTGAAACAATTTTTATTGTTCAAAAATTACAAAATATACTGCAGTATATAGATCCAATTGATTAAGAACTTTAATAAAGAAACTCAATTGAAAAAATTACTTATTTTATATTATAATTATAATATATTTCCTACCGTCCAGTTCAGTATATAGATCCAATAAATGAGAAGAACTTTTTAAATTTGTAAGAAACTCAATTGAATTACAAATCACAGAGCATCATAAACGTTGTATTCCGTTCACAGAGCACTTATATTATAATTATAATATATTTCCTACCGTCCAGTTCAGTATATAGATCCAATTGAGAAGAACTAGCAAGAAACTCAATTGAATTACTTATTTTATATTATAATTATAATATTTTTCCTACCGTCCAGTTCAGTATATAGATCCAATTGAGAAGAACTGGCAAGAAACTCAATTGAATTACTTATTTTATATTATAATTATAATATATTTCCTACCGTCCAGTTCAGTATATAGATCCAATTGAGAAGAACTAGCAAGAAACTATATTGAATAGAATAGAATGAAAATCATTTATTCAAATAAACTCACATTGAAGCACTTTTGAATAGTCATTACATTTTTTAATCTACCGCTCATCGGAAAACTGTCTCATCACAAGATTATAATTATAATATATTTCGAATATAGCAAGAAACTTGCGTCAATTGCTTATTTTAAATAATTTTATTATTACTTTACATTTTTAAGTTTAAGTGTGTGAATACAAATTATAATTAGCACTAATTCTATTAAATAGAAATAAAAAATGAATAAAAATAGAAATAGATAAATGAAGATGAAAAAAACTCAATTGAATTACTTATTTTATATTATAATTATAATATATTTCCTACCGTCCAGTTCAGTATATAGATCCAATTGAGAAGAACTAGCAAGAAACTCAATTGAATTACTTATTACATAGAAGTCCCCTGTGATATATCTCCCGTCCAATTCAAATGGGGAAGTATGACTGTGCGTCTGTTTGTTTAAACGACTGACCGGACTTTAGTGAAAGATGTGAACATAAATTGTGTCAGGTGAACAGACATATACTTACCAGCTTAGCCCGCGGTTTCACCCGCGTTTAATTTCAATAAAAAATATAGCCTATATGTTATTCTGATGCATAAGCTATATTACTGTAAGTTTCATCCAAATCCGTTCAGTAGTTTTTGCGTGAAAGAGTAACAAACATCCATACTTACAAACTTTCATGTTTATAATATTACTAGCTGCGCCCGTGAATTTGTCCGCGTAAATTGACGATACTTCCATAGAACGGTAGGGGTAAAGTAAAATTATAATGTAAAAATTTGACGTTCATAAGCGGCTAAAATGTCCTACATGAATAAATGATTTTTGAATTTGAATTTGATTTTGAATTTGAACCTTTCATATTCCCTTTCAACCCCTTGCAACACTTTTTTCACATTAAAAAGTAGCCTCGTCAAAAGTCCTTTGTCAGGGTCTAAACTATCTGTGTACCGAATTTCATTTAAATCGGTGCAATGGTTTAGGCGTGAAAGCGGGACAGACAGAGTTACTTTCCCAATTATAACATTAGTAAGGATTAAGATGAAAATATCGACTTACAGCTCACATCTTCAGCAAATATTGCAGGTGCCACTAAACAAATACTAAAAAATACAAATAAATACATTTTCGCGCCACCAACACCTGTAAAATAAGAAAATACAAAAAAAAAACACGTTAACTATACAAAACTTGGAAATCAACTGATCATTATCCGAGTGGTTTCAGGTAGAAATACATTTCGTAATGTTTAATATTTGTAAAACTGAACATCAAGTCATAATCAGTGTCCGAAAAATATTAAATATTTACGTTGAACTGGCCGAGATTTCCGTGAAAGAGTCAAAACATGAGGATTCGTGTGGGAAGATTTTTAGTTATTTTAATGTGGTGTTACGAGAAACTTTCTAGTTGATACATCGGTTACACATAACGTACAAAGGTGACTCAATAATTTCAGTACACTCAGGTTGATGAGGTTTAGAATTATTACATATTTCCTAAAATATGGTCGAGCGCAGTGATGACTGGCTCATCCGTCATACTCGTGAACGAGTGCTGATTGTAGAGATTTAATCTTATTGTGTACTTTTATTTAACCCTAATAAATTAGTGCTGGTTGGTAGTTTGTATTCGCACGTTTCGTATTGTAGAGTGTGAACTTACAAGGATTATTTAAAGGCAACACACAAGTTTCTTGCTCGTTCTTCTTGTGATGAAACAGCACTTAGGGGGGGTCTTTGCTTTGCTTGGGGGGTGGGGAGTCTAGGTGATTATTACGATATGATACGATTACAATAATCTTTCCAATAAATATAGTCCATAAATGTTGATAAAGTCATCCACATATTAGGCTGTTCGCGATAAAAGACACGATTTATTTATTTGTATAACAAAATAAGAAAAAATTTGAATGGTTCAATTTATTTTTTTAACCTAAACAATGGCAACATTTCTGCCGATAATGTGTATTACTAAAATAGGACTTGTATCCGGAGTCGTAAAATATATTAAAAAAAAAAATGTATTGTATTTATTTCCAAAAAAATTGAAATTTCTAGTAAGTTGTTAGTAAAGTCAGTAATGTGAATATGATCGCATTATAGCAATGTACCATGTCAGGTTGACCCCACGCGGCTCCTGGAAACCGTCATGATAAATTCTTGGTGAATTTGCCACTACTAACTGACCTGACTAGACCACAGATAATTGAAATTCTAAGAATGAGTTGCTTTAAAATACGAATGTTAAAATCTTACCCATTTTCCTTTTATTATAATATAATAAATATCATAGTATACAAATATTATTTCACTATATAAATATTTTTATAATTAAATCAATAACTATTTTTTACAGTCAAATCAAATTGTAGCAATCATTCCAACGTAACGTAAAGGATTATAATGGCGATGGATTGTTTTTTTGAAGTACATTATTCTTCATCGTGATGTTTCTGTTTTGAATTTATAAAAGTATATTCTAGGAATCTTTCATTGTGGTTATGTTTACGATTGTGTTGAATATGCATTGTGTAAGATTCAAATGCTGTATAAAACACTTTCTTTGTAAAAATGATTATTATAAAATTGAAGAGTTTGTAAATGATGTTTTTGTAGAAAAAACTTAAAATTCATAGCGCTGACAATTACAATTACATTTACAGATTACGCAAAGAATGAGTGTGAAGCGGTTTCTATGTTGATTAACGTATGCCTATTATTTGTTATCGTGTAATTATTTATTTATTCAAAAGAACAACATACAAATAATCTTGCGATGAGTCTGCGTTCCGAATGAGTGGTAGAATAAAAAAATATGGCTACTCAAAAGTGCTTATATTGAGTTTATTTGAATAAAGAATATTTCTATTTCTATGGGAAAATACGTATGGTGTTGTTAAAATCTACAATATGTAGGTAATCAATAGAATTGATTGAAACTTTTGAACGTCATCGACCGGGAATTCATTCTCACACCCCTTGTACCTAAGTTGTCACGGACTGTGGGGTTTCAGAGATTTCTCCCACGCACTCTGATATTGTGAAATGAACTACCTGTCGGGTAATATCAACAATTAAAGAGCATGATGGAAGATCGTGAAATGCAGCAAAAGATCCAACGACAAGAAAGTGGTTCTAAAAGTTATGTTTTTTTTTGTTCTGTTTATCTCTTAAAGGAAAGGTAAAGGGAAATCTGTCCAGACAGCTATATCTGCATGTTTTTCATAGTCTTAACTTTCTTAGTTTATTTTATAAATCTTAAATGGTTGAGATAATGCAGTCGTACAATATTAAAAAAAAATTGAATTTCCTAATAGTTCCTTAAGAGAGCGCGGGATATGCTTTTCACAATGGTAGATTTCAAGTTTAAATTTTTTTTTTGGTTAGGTTTTTCCCTTTTTAGGGAAAGGCAAAAGGACTCAGCCCATACAGCCATTGTCTTCAGTTTTTTTTTTATTTTTATGAGTGAATGAATAAGCATTATATGTCAACGTCAAATATAAGTCACAGATGAACGAGGTTCAACTTAACTACTCTGTTCTAAAAACATCAATCTGTCAATTTGTTTTAGGCATTTTGGTTTTGTCAATCACAGAGAAACTAAGCATAGTATTTAATTCAGTGTTCTATAAATGTTTATTTTGCTATTTATTTAGTTTCTATGTATCAAATTGTGTTTTGTGATTTGTATATTGGGATTTATACGTAGTTCAAGGCCATATTAATGAGGTAAGTTTCAAATATGTCATACATAAATATATATTTTTTGTAATGATTATATTTATTTTTGTATGAGTGTTTTTGTTATTATTATTGACAATAATGGCTCTAAATAAACTGATAAAGAGGCCTAAAAATTGTTCTACTATCTATGTTTGTGAAAATCGTAGAGTTTGAGTATAAAAATCGGAGGGTATTTATAAAATAAAATTTCTAAAAATACAGTTACATATTTATTTTTGTTTTTATATTGCCTTATATCTCATTTACCTATTTTATATACTTGACTCTTTTTGGTACCACATCAAATTTGAAGATCATAAGCATATGTAGGATATTTTTTAATAAAAGCAATTTTTTTATCACAATTAACCTTGCCCTTCATGGGTGTAAGAGATTATTCATGTTAGTAGACCTCGATGCTGTCCCATCTAGAATTTATGATGGTGTATTTATATATTTGCCATACTAGACCTGACTTTTTTTATGGATGATAATGGAATGGTGCACCCGCCTGCGGTTTATGTTGCCTGGCCAACAGTGGAAGAACATGTGAAACAAATTCACCATGAATTTAGATAATTCACCATGATGGGCTAACTGACCTGACCTCATGTTCATCTTATTATCTTCCACTGTTTTCTATATATGTTATGTAGGGATAACAAAAAATTTAGTAACTATATCACTTGTCTAGTACCCATAACACAAGCTCTCCTTACATTGGGGCTAGTTGATGTGTTAATTGTCCAGACTTATTTATATATATATACGGAATATATACAGAACTTTTTTTGGCAGGTAGCTGATGTAGTAAGGAGTAATTTAGGCTACTTTTATTTTAGAAAAATAATAGCCACCTGCCAATAAAAGTTCCGTCACAATTGGGCCAGCCATTTCAGAGATTAGCCAGAACAAACAGACGGACAGACAAAAATTATAAAAAATGTTATTTTGGTATATGTACTGTAGATATATTCACATGCATGTAGTAAAAAACAGTTATTACAATATTACAAACAAACACTCCAATTTTATTTATATGTATAGATGTGATATGGTGTCTCTACATTTCATTTTCAAGCTAAAATAGCTAAACATATATTAATTAAGTTTAATATAAAAAAAGATTTTATAAACAGGGTGCATTCAGAAATTTATTGCACAACTAAACTTCAAAAAACCATTGACTTATTTAATTTTGAGCGGAACGGAGTTTGCGAGGTCAGCTAGTGTAAGATAAAAATGTAATATAATATAGATAGAAGGAAATGCAATTAGGGCTCAATAAGGATGTTGGTTGTTGTTAGTTTGGATAATATTTATTCTGTACCTACATTATGCCAATTCTAATAATATATTAATATCATTATATATTATATATTATAAAATGAGACACAATGTTTTTGCTTTTTAAGAAAGATTGTGCCCCATTTTATGAAATTGCACACAGTTATAATTTAACTGGAGAAGCAAATTATAGAGTGCAAATGGTTATTAATTTTAGACCCTGCACAATCAGACTAGGGTTCAAAAATATAATTTTCGAATGTTTTCAATTTCTCGGGTCTCGAGAATTCTCGAGGTCAATTTTGTTTATATGTATGTATTAATATTATCTTCTCATATAAATAAAATGTCGAGTTAAATTTAATTTAAATAACGTTTTTTACTCATATTATTTGGTTCCAATAACGTCAAAAAATTCTGTGGTTTTCTTCTCTCTTTTCTATTTGTATATCTTGAAAAACATTTTATTATATTATGAATAAATTATTTTTTTTTTTAATAAAAATAATATTTTTTCTTAAATTGCAATTGGCGTTATGTCGTACTGGTACAGCTTTTATCTAAATTATTAATGCGAAAATTTGGTTTGTTTGTTCCATTTCCAAATTTATACAGATTACAATGAAATTTATATAATAAAAAATAAAAATCTGAATAACACACATTCTTTATTGAAATTTATATATTGATATTTAACGCGGATGAAACTTATATATATAATACTAAAATATATTATACATATAAACCTTCCTCTTGAATCACTCTATCTATTAAAAGAAACTGCTTCAAAATCCGTTGCGTAGTTTAAAAAATTTAAGCATACCTAAGGACGGACAGCGACAGCTACTTTGTTTTATACTATGTAGTGAAGTATAGATTGTATGTTATATTACATATATTATAATGATATTGACTATGTAACTAGTTGCTCGCTCCGGCTCCTCCGCCCGGATGTACTTATAAATAATAATAATTCTTTTATTGGAACTAAAAACATAAAAATATATAATATTTTACAAAGCAATTAGTGATAACAGCCACATTGGTAAAGATTACGTGGCGACGCCATTTTGTTTTATACATATATATATTTTATATAATAAAAAATAATCTGGTAGGACGATGTTCACACATGGTTGAGTGCAATGATCTGGCTCATCCGTCATACTCGTGAACGGGTGCTGCTTGTGCTGGTGTTCATTGCGAACACTGATTAGATTTTTTGATTTTTTTGAATTTTTTTATATAGATATGCTTTTTTTCTCCCAAATTTGAATTTAAATGAAATATATTATTGTAAATATTATAACATTAAAAAAAAATACGACCTTGTCAGTTCTTCTCATCTCGATCATTCAAACAATTTGACATATCATAAGAGTCTGAATACAAATGTTTGTGAATTTTGAATTTTGAATAAAAGCAAAGCAAAGGCATGCATGATTACGTTTACAACATAACTTTTATATATATAAACTAAAATATATTACATATATAAACCTTCCACTAGAATCACTCTATCTGTTAAAAAAAAAACCGCTTCAATATCCGTATACAATAAATTTATATAATAAAAAATAAAAAGCGTCGTCGTATATATATATAAACTAAAATATATATATATATATATATAAACCTTCCACTAGAATCACTCTATCTATTAAAAGAAACCGCTTCAAAATCCGTTGCGTAGTTTTAAAGATTTAAGCATACATGGGGACAGACATGATAATGAAAGTGTCTGTACCATACAAGTAGATCATTGTTTGGCGCTTTCACCGGCCTGCCGTGGTCTATGGTAGTTATCACCGATTATGTGCTCGCAATTAGTGTCCACTTTCGATTACGCACCGACGCCATTTTGTTTTATACATATATATATATATCTTATATATAAAATTCTCGTGTCACAGTTTTCGTTCCCATACTCCTCCGAAACGGCTTTTTTCAATTTTATTTTTTCTGAGAATCAACATCTATTTTTAGTTTCTTTTTTTTATGATACAATACAAAATACATACAATCCTAAATTTTCACCCTTCTATCATCAACCCCTATTTTTTTATAGCGTTATTAATTTATATAGCAAAACAACGTTTGCCGGGACAGCTAGTATAGTATATACATATATATTTCGATATGCGTCTGCTTTTTTTTTTACTTTTTTTGTTATTATTCATATTTTTTCCGGATATAAACTTACAGGTTTGTTACATTTTTTATTTTCTTACAAGTTAATATATATATAATGTTTACATTTATCCTACCTAATAATTTACTTTTTAAAACATACAGAGTCTGTACATAATAATGAATAGTCTGTAATACAGACTATTCAAAATTGAAAATTCAAAAATAATTTATTCATGTAGGACATTTTGGCCGCTTATGAACGTCAAGTTTTTACATTATATATTTTTTTCCCGTATATAGATCCGTCAAGAAACTCAATTGAATTACATTTCGGTATATATAGGTTCAAAATAGATGCTTTCAATTGAAAATGTTAAGAACTGACAACAACTGAAACTCTCTCTAATGTGTGCTTCCAATTACTTTAATTTTAAAAAAATATAATGTTGGGCCAGTTTATTTACAATGTATAAGTATTTATATAGGTATCTATATATTTCCTATACTATGGGTATTTATATATTTTGCCATTTTTTTTTGGACCGGCGCCATTTTGTTTTATCCATATGTTTCGAAATGCGTCTGTATGTGTGTCGGTCTGTTATTTTATAACGACTAAACGATTTTTCAGGACTGAAATTAACGTGTGGTCCCTGTATAGCCCAGCCATACTTTCAAACTTTCGCCTTACTATGGTCGCGGATTCGATTCCTCGTACGGTACAAACATTTTGTATTCATGAGTATGTTTGTTTGTATCGGTCTGTGTGTTTTCTATGTATTCACAAAAAAGGTATCTAAGTATTTATATCAGTTGTCTAATACCCATAACACAAGCTCTGCTTAGCTTGAAACTAGATGTCGCTGTCTGAATTGTCCTAGATTATTATCGGACGCCCTCGGTGGTCTAGCGGTTTAACACGCCACTTTCACACACGTTCGATTCCTCAACGATACAAACATTTTGTATTCACCAGTATAATTTTTTTATGGATGATAATGTAATGGTGCACCCGCCTGCGCTAACGGTTTACGCTGGCGGGGCACCCGTGGAGGATGATAAGATGAACATGAGGTCAGGTCAGTTAGCACATCGTGACAAGCTCACCAGGAATTTGTCACGATGGTTTCCAGGGGGAACCGCGTGGAGGTCGACGTGACATTGCTAGCAATGGGGTTATCAATCTACATTACTAACCCCCCTCATGAGTATGATTGTTTGTAGCAGTCTGGGTGTTTTCTATGTATTTATAAAAAAGTTGTCTAGTACCCATAATACAAGCTTTACTTAGCTTGGGACTAGATGGCGCTGTGTGAATTGTCCTAGACTATTATCTTCTAATCTTCTTCTTTATTATTACATAATATAAAACAAAGTCGCTGTCGCTGTCTGTCCGTCACTATGTATGCTTAAATCTTTAAAACTACGCAACGGATTTTGAAGCGTAATAGTAAAGTAAATAGATAGAGTGATTCAAGAGGAAGGTTTATATATATAATACATGTACACCCGTGCGAAGTCGGGGCGCATAGCTAGTCTAATATAACATTCTCGTGTCACAGGTTTTGTGTTTATACTCCTCTGAAACGGCTTAACCGATTTTGATGAAATTTTACATACATACTTCTTGAAAAATATGTATATTCAATAGGTCTGAGAATACGTTTATAACCAACTAGCTTTTGCCCGCGGCTTCGCTCGCGTTAATTTATCCCCTTAGGGGTGGAATTTATCAAAATCCTTTCTTAGGGCATGCCTACGTCATAGTAGCTTTATGCATGCAAAGTCTCAGCCCGATCGGTGTAAAATTGACAAAGTTTCATATAAACTTTCATCTCCTATTTTATCCCCTTGGGGATAGAATTAATCAAAATCCTTTCTTAGCGGATACCTACGTCATAACATCTACCTGCATGCCAAATTTTAGCCTGATCCGTCCAGTGGTTTGGGCTGTGCGTTGATAGATCACTATGTCAGTCACCTTTGAGTTATATATATTTAGATATTTATACCCCTAAGGGTTAAGGGTGGCTCACCTCAAATGTTTTTTTTTTATTTTGTCGACAATTTTTTTTATTATGTCCCATTAAAAATACATACAGCTTTAAATTTTAACCCTTCTAACACCAACCCCTATTTTTTAATAGCGATTTTAATTTATATAGCAAAACAACGTTTGCGGGATCAGCTAGTAAAGATGGATATCTTTGTTTCAGTAACTTCAATACCGTTCGCACTGAAGATGAGGCGCTCACCTCTCCATCATCAGACGAGAAAATGGACACCGGTTCTATGTTCTCATCCGAGTCCTTCAAATCCCAGGATACCCCCAACTCCCTCTCGTCAGACTTCGAGGAGAGTCACGACCAGAACGTCCTCCGTCTCCAGAACCCCTCGGAACCTGAAGACAACCTGAACACAGCAGTCACCAAATTGAAATCAGATTTAAACGAGAGTCTAATATCTAGAATGACGAACCTGAACATTGATTCTCCAAAAGGTGTAAGACCAAGGAATTTGGGTATTAGTCCTCCAAAATTCAGTTCAACCCTGACCTTGACGACGAATCACCCTCTCATGGGTTTGGGAAGTCCAGAAGAGAACTTTCCAGATGTGATACCGAAAAAAGCTCATAAAATGGATGAAGAGAAAGACCTGAGTCTTTCAAGCATAGAAGATGAAAGACCTAATGATACCAACGGCTTTTACAGTCCACAGCAGAACACGTCCAAGAGTAATCTTTACTTCACAGACAGCGTCATCACAGCTGATAGCCAGGTGTTAGATGCAAGAACAGATGGACTGACTCCAGATGTGGCTAGAGTGGAAAGGGAGAGGAAACTCCTCTCCAGGTTTGGAGACGTGAAGAGGGATGTACCATCGCAGAGGGTGAGGGAAGGTCCCGTAATTAAATATGTGGAGAAGAGATGTAATGATCTACATAGCACCCCTAAGTCATTGATCATGGATATACCAGAACCAGAAGAATTTAATACAGGGGTGAGTTGCTGATAATAACTAGCGAATCGCCCCGGTTTCGCTCGGGTCCAATTCTTGTGGATATCTCTATTTTTACTATAATAACTAGCGGATCGCCCCGGTTTCGCTCGGCTCCAATTCTTGTGGATAACTCTATTTTTACTATAATAACTAGCGGATCGCCCCGGTTTCGCTCGGGCCCAATTCTTGTGGATAACTCTATTTTTACTATAATAACTAGCGGATCGCCCCGGTTTCGCTCGGGCCCAATTCTTGTGGATAACTCTATTTTTACTATAATAACTAGTGGATCGCCCCGGTTTCGCTCGGGTCCAATTCTTATGGATAACTCTATTTTTACTATAATAACTAGCGGATCGCCCCGGTTTCGCTCGGGTCCATTCTTGTGGATAACTCTATTTTTACTATAATAACTAGCGGATCGCCCCGGTTTCGCTCGGGTCCAATTCTTGTGGATAACTCTATTTTTACTATAATAACTAGTGGATCGCCCCGGTTTCGCTCGGGTCCAATTCTTATGGATATCTCTATTTTTACTATAATAACTAGCGGATCGCCCCGGTTTCGCTCGGCTCCAATTCTTGTGGATAACTCTATTTTTACTATAATAACTAGCGGATCGCCCCGGTTTCGCTCGGGCCCAATTCTTGTGGATAACTCTATTTTTACTATAATAACTAGAGGATCGCCCCAGTTTTGCTCGGGTCGAATTCTTGTGGATATCTCTATTTTATACTACCTGTTCCTGCGACTTCGTCCGCGTGGAATTTAACGTTATTTTTTATTAAAATATATAGAATTTCTACAATAAATTAACAGTTTCAGACAGTACCGTATATACATTTCATATGAATTTGACGACCTCGGTGGTCTAGCGGTCTAGCACACCGCTTTACGTCCGATGGTCGCGGGTTCGATTCCTCGCACGGCACAAACATTTGTATTCATGAGTATGATTGTTTGTATCGGTCTGGATGTTTTTTATATATATAATATGTAGGTATTTACGAAAAAGAAATCTATGTATTTATATCAGTTATCTAGTACCCATAACACGAGCTTTAGCTAGCTTAATTTGGGTCTAGATGGCGCTGTGTGAATTGGCCTGAGATTAATATTATTATTATTATTTAGTAAAACACTTATATTTTATTTATTTATATATACATCTATACATATAAATAAAATTGGAGTGTCTATTTGTAATATTGAAATAACCGTTTTTTACTACATGCATATGAATATAAATACGGTACATACACTAAAATAACATTTTTTTAATATTTTTGTCTGTTGGTCTGTCTGTTTGTTCCGACTAATCTCTGAAATGGCTGGACCGATTTTGACGGGACTTTTTTTGGCAGGTAACTGATGTAATAAGGAGTAACTTATACTACTTTTATTTTTGAAAAATAAAGTTAAATTCCACGCGGACGACGTTGCGGGTACAGCTAGTAATTAACATATTTGTAGTTAACATTCCATTATAAATCAAGATATATGTTTCGAATCTAGATGCCACTAAAAATGCTCATAAGGCTGGCCGTATGCTTATCTATATAGAGTGTGAATGTTTCAGGTGGCCGAATGGTGTGAATCGCCGTCTCAACTTCGAACTATGCCCAATTTCGAGTTACCCATAGAACTGTCCAGTAATATAAGTATTAATAATGTAAGTATTTATAATCTATATCATTACATAGTATAAAACAAAGTCACTGTCGCTGTCGCTGTCTGTCTGTCCCTATGCATGCATAAATTATTTATTATTATTTATTTATTTACATAGATTTAGAACGAAAGAAAGAAAGAAAGAAAAATATATTTATTTGGCGCATACAAAACAATCATACAATATTTTACAAAAATTATAACAAATTATTTTAAAAATACAGCTGCGACCAAATTGGTTTCCACTCAGCTTTGTGTCTGGGCTGTAATGCCCAAACGTTGATTTTCAGTGGAACCTTGTAGTAATTAATTTAAAATATATAAATAGTGTACGTACTGCTGCCTGCGTGAACGTGCGCTGTTGGTGCTTCTGATGAGGTGTAAGTCTATGCTATGATAATGTATGGAAATGAAAATACACATATAAAACGGTAAAAAATACATACACAGTACGGACAGTCATACAGTGGAAATTTGATTTTCTAATAGAAATTTACATTTACATGTTTACAATACAATACAATTTTTGTATTTTTCTATTATCTGTAGTCCCCAAACTAGGTCAGGCCTGTATCTTGGGGGCTGGGGCGCGGATACCAAAAACATGCAGTATATATACACTTCAATTGACTATTTTACAATTAGGTTAATTATTTTGTGGTGAATTATTTCACAATTATATATACATGCAATAAATACCAGAACGTGTTTAAATCTACGCAATTTAAAACTACGCAACGGATTTTGAAGCGGTTTGAATCACTCTATCTATTAAAAAATAGATAGAGTGATTCAAGAGGAAGGTTTATATGTATAACTAGATGTTACCGTGACTACGTCTGCGTGGAATTTAACTTTATTATTCTAAAATAAAAGTAGCCTAATATACTCCTTATTACATTAGCTACCTACCAAAAAAAGTCCCGTCAAAATGGGTCCAGCCATTTCAAAGATTAGCCGGAACAAACAGACAGATAGACAGAGAAATATTGTAATCTCTGAAATGGATGGACCGATTTTGACGGGACTTTTTTTGGCAGGTAGCTGATGTAATAATGAGTAACTTAGCTACTTTTATTTTAGAATAATAAAGTTAAATTCCACGCGGACGAATAAATATATGATTCAGCAGATGCTTTATTTTTGTCATCTTATGGTCCAGGATCTGGAGTCCCCTGACGTGGTGTCGTCATCCACCGAGGACCGGTCCGCGTACCAGGCCTTCCTGGACCCGTACACCGGCAGCGTGGCGCTCCGCCCCACGCCAGCCAAGATGCCCCCCGACCAGAGGCGGAAAATTAAATTGGTATGTATTAGACATACGCGTACACAAGTTCCATTCCGGTCATAGGCTATTATTATTGTTCTACTTCCTTACTAATATATACAGTGGACCCCCGGTAGTCCGACAATCATTTTGCAGGGCAGTGTCGGACTATCGAATTTGTCGGATTATAGAGTACTGCCTAAGACCCCTTATAGTCCGAATTTTTTTACAAAATAATACCTTGTAATCCGACAAATTATAGATCCAATGATGATTCTTTATATTATATACATATACAGTGGACCCCCGGTTATCCGACAAACGTTTTGCAGGGCAGTGTCGGACCATCGTATTTGTCGGATTATAGAGTGCTTCCTAAGGGTCTCCTATAGTCCGGAATTTTATACAAAAGAGTATCTTGTAATCCGACAAATTACAGATCCAGTGATAAGATTCTATGTTATATATGTATGTATGTATATGCACTCTGAAGTATATTGTCAAAGTAATATTCAATAACAAATAATAGACAATGTCGGATTACAAGGGGGGCCGGATTACCGCGGGTCCACTGTATATTGTTTGTAATGTGGACTGATAATCTTATTGCTACTATGTCAGGTTGACCTCCACGCGGTTCCCCCTGGAAACCATCGTGATAAATTCTTGATGAATTTGTCACGATGGGCTAACTGCTCTGACCTCATGCTCACCTTATCATCCTCCACTGGTGCCCGTCAGCGTAAACCGTTAGCGCAGGCGGGTGCACCATTACATTACATTTATTAAAAAAAAATCCGATCATACTCATAAATATAAATAAATGTTTTTACCGTTCGAGGAATCGAACCCGCGACCACGGGATGTAAGGCGGTGTTAAACCGCTAGACCACCGCGGTCGTGTGAACATTGTTACAAATGATGCAATATAAATGCCGGGAAATTTACCCACACATTTATATTTATAAAACAACGCAATGTTTGTGAAAAAAATTACACATTGCTCTGATTTACTCGACTGCAATTGAGGGCAAGCATGCTTAATAATGTAATGTAATAACTTGAAACTTAGAAGTATTGGAAAATCAGTTTTAATGATTTGGTTTAAAGTCGATTTTTCAAGGACAGTTATAAGTAGCATATTGAATAGTGAAATGTATTAATTCGAAATTCGAAATTTAGATAATTGAAATGTCAACTTTAAAGTTTTGGTTTAAGATCGATTTTTCAAGACAAGTGTTTTTATATTGCATAATAAATAATGGAATGTATTAATTCGAAATTTAGAAATATTGAAATATCAACTTTAATGTTTTGGTTTAAGATCGATTTTTCAAGACAAGTGTTTTATATTGCATAATAAATAATGAAATTTATTAATTCGAAATTTAGAAATTATTGAAAATCAACTTTAATGTTTTGGTTTAAGATCGATTTTTCAAGACAAGTGTTTTATATTGCATAAAAAATAATGAAGTTTATTAATTCGAAATTTAGAAATTATTGAAAATCAACTTTAACGTTTTGGTGTAAGGTCGATTTTTCAAGACAAGTGGTGTATAAAGCACACTAAATAATGAAATATATTCTTTGTAAATTTAGAAAATTTTGATAATCAACTTTAACGTTTTGGTTTAAAGTTGGTTTTTCAAGGCAAGTGGTATAATATATTGCATTCTTAATAATGAAATGTAGTAACTTGAAACTTAGAAGTATTGGAAAATCAGTTTTAATGTTTTGGTTTAAAGTCGATTTTCTAAGGCGAGGAGTTATGTATAAAACATACTGAACAACGAAATGTATTAATTAGAAATTCGAAACTTAGAAATATTGTAATATCAACTTTAACATTTTGGTATAAGGTCGATTTTTCAAGACAATTGTTTTATATTGCATAATAATTCAAAATTCAAAAGGTTTATATATATAACACATGTACACCCGGGCTAAGCTAACGAACTTGGCTGATCTCCAAATGGCTGGACCGATTTTGACTCGACTTTTATTGGCAGGTAGCTGATGTAATAAGGAGTAACTTAAGCTACTTTTATTATAGAAAAAAAAAGTTATATTCCACGTGGACGAAGTCTCGTGTGACAACTAGTTAGAAATAGAAATATGCTTTATTTAAATAAACTCATTACAAGTACTTTTGAATAGTCATATTTTGATTCTACCACTCATTCGGGACGCAGACTCATCACAAGAAGAATGAGCAAGAAGCTTGTGTGTTGCTCTTTTAATTAATAGTTGTTGTTTTTTGTAATTGTTTATATAGAAAATTGATATTGAGGAATTATGTATATTTGTATGACATTTATAATAAAAACTATATATATTAATAGTTATATTTAACACATAGCCACCAGAAGAGGACCGCTGCAGTCTGGACAGTATCAGCGCATGCTCTATGGAGTCCGAGGACGAGCCGCCGGAGCCCGAGCCGTCAGCGGAGCCCCCGCCGTGCACTGAGCACAGTGATGACGAGGATACTAGAAGGTAGACTAATTCTGTATGAATTGAAAGTCCTTGTGATGGAAGAGTTTTTTATATATATATACCTATTTAATCTTTACATAGTATAAAAGCGAAAGTCGCTTCCGTTGTCTGTTCACTTATAATACGCAACGGAGCTTAATGCAGTTTTAACAGTAGATAGAGTGATTCAAGAGGAAGGTTTATATGTATAACTAGCTTTTGCCTGCGGCTTCGCTCGCGTTAATTTATCCCCTTAGATAAAATCCTTTCTTAGGGAATGCCTTCGTCATAGTAGCTTTATGCAAAGTATCAGCCGGATCGGTTTAAAATTGACAAAGTTTCATACGAACTTTCATCTCCTATTTTATCACTTTGGTGGTAGAATTAATCAAATTCCTTTCTTAGCGGATACCTACGTCATAACATCTACCTGCATGCCAAATTTCAGCCCGATCCGTCCAGTGGTTTGGGCTGTGCGTTGATAGATCACTATGTCAGTCAGTCAGTCACCTTTGAGTTATATATATTTAGATATTTAATTAACAATTCACACAGCGTCATCTAGTCCCAAGTTAAGCTAGCTAAAGCTTGTGCTATGGGTACTAAATAACTGATACAAATACATAAATTTTTCCGTAAATACATACATAATATTCATAGAAAGCACCTAGACTGATGCAAACAATCATACTCATGAATAATGTCTGTACCGTGCGTGGAATCGAACCCGCGACCATCGGAAGTGAGGCGATGTACTAAACCGCTAGACCACCGAGGCTGTAAAAAAAGTCCGGATAGGGTGGGGTCAAATAATGTAACGGTTGATGGCCTTACTCTCGCTCCCCCCTCATCCTCACTTAGTGGAATCACCTTCCAGCAATGGTATTTCCGAACCGATACGATATTGAAACCTTCAAGAAAAGAGCTTATTCCATCTTAAAAGGCCGACAACGTACTTGCAATTCCCCTTGTGTTGCGGGTGCTCATGGGCGGCGGTAATCACTTACCATCAGGTGAGCCGCATGCTCGTTTGTCCCCTGTGTTATAAAAAAAATGATTATTTTTACAAAACAGATCAAAATCAACAAACACAATGAGTGAGTGCAGCGATCCTATACCAGAGTACTCAGCTGCTGAGGAGTTGAGCAATGAGCGCTCCTGGTTGAGTGTGCCCAGGGCTGGTGGGCACGCCACCTGCGATATGAAGGTACGCATTTACCATCTATACGTCTATAGGTAAACGATTTTTTTTGAAAGATCATGATGGTGATGGTGAGGGATGATCATGATGGCGACGGTGAGGGATGATCATCATGATGGTGACGGTGAGGGATGATCATCATGATGGTGACGGTGAGGGATGATCATCATGATGGTGACGGTGAGGGATGATCATCATGATGGTGACGGTGAGGGATGATCATCATGATGGTGATGGTGAGGGATGATCATCATGATAGTGACGGTGAGGGATGATCATCATGATGGTGACGGTGAGGGATGATCATCATGATGGCGACGGTGAGGGATGATCATCATGATGGTGACGGTGAGGGATGATCATCATGATGGTGCCTTCGCCTGTGCTAACAGTTACGCTGGCGGGGCACCAGTGGAGGATGATAAGATGAGCATGAGGTCAGATCAGTTAGCACATGGTAGTAAACGATTTCGTAGCCTATGGATAACTGAAAGACCAGGAGTGTTACTTGCGAGTTTAATAGTCATTCCAATTATTAAAAAAAACTAGGGTTGTTCCTCTATACATATAAATAAAATTGGAGTGTCCGTTTGTAATATTGAAATAACAGTTTTTTACTACATGCATATGAATATAAATACGGTACATACACCAAAATATCATTTTTTACAATTATTGTCTGTCTGTCTGTCTGTTCCGGCTATTCTCTGAAATGGCTGGACCGATTTTGACGGGACTTTTATTGGCAGGTAGCTAATGTAATAAGGAGTAACTTAGCCTAAGTTGATTTTAGAAAAACAAATATATATATCACGCAGACGAAGTCTGAAATATAACAATGAAACAATATTTTCCCGATTTGACATCCGCCTCCCACACTCCTCCAAATCCAGGTGATCGAGCCGTACAAGCGCGTGGTGTCTCACGGCGGCTACGAGCCGTCGGGCGCGGCCATCATCGTGTTCAGTGCGTGTCACTTGCCCGACAGCGCGCGCACTGACTACCGCTACGTCATGGACAACCTGTTCCTGTTAGTATACCTGTTGGATACAAATTTATTTGCATTTATTTCCGCAATCGTTATTCGCTACCAAGCAAACATTCAATAAGAATAGAATAGAATAGAAAATAGAAATAATCTTTATTCAAATAAACTCATTACAAGCACTTTTGAATAGTCATATTTTGATTCATCGAATGCAGATTCATCACGTGTTGCTCTTTTTAATAGTTTTTTTTTATATAAATAATTACAGTATAACAAGTAACAACATGATGTACACACTCATTATTAGTGTAATCAGATAATATTGTCTAAAGTTTTTATTTTATTATCGTTAACGAAATTTTATAAAGTTAATAGTCAGCACTTTTGAATAGTCAACAATTTTTTTTTATATCTACCGTGTATTCGGAACGCTGTCTCATCACAAAGAATAAGCAAGAAACTTGTGTGTTGCTCTTTTAACATATTTGTAGTTAACATTCAAGTCATTGATAAATCAACCAGCACTAATTCATTTAGGCTCAAATATAAAAACACAATAAGATTAAATCAGTCGTAGTGATAAGAGCCCAGTCCCTAAAAATGTTCTCGGATAGCCAGCCAGTCTGTTTGTAATATTGAAATAACCGTTTTTTACTACATGCATATGAATATAAATACGGTACATACACAAAAATATATTTTTTTACAATTTTTGACTGTCTGTCTGTACGCTAGCTAGTAATAAATATAATCCACAACCGTTCACGAGTATGACGCATGAATGTTACAGATACGTGATATGGACACTGGAGCGGCTCGTTACAGATGAATACGTTCTCATATACTTGCACGGGAGTGCTGGCAGCCGTAAGATGCCCACGTTCCACTGGCTCCACGAGTGTTACAAACTCATCGACAGAAGGTCAGTGTTAATTATAACTATACGTTGGTGGCAAACAAACATACGGCCCTTCTGATGGTAAATGATTACGATAGCCTATGGACGCCTGAAACACCAGGGGTGTCACGTGCGCGTTGCCAACCCTTAAGAAACCTTAATATACCCTTCTTGAAAAACCCCATGCTGTAGTCTCTCGAGAAAACCTCGGCAGGTAGTTCATTCCACAATCTAAGTGTACGCGGGAGGAAGCTCCTCTGAAACCGCACTGTCCGAGACCACTTAGGTTCCAGCGTGTGGGAATGAATTCCCTGTCGACTGCGAACGTCAAATTTTTACATAAAATAGGGGATGAAAGTTTGTATGAAACTTTGTCAATTTTAACCGATCGGGCTGAGACTTCGCATGCATAAAGCTACTATGACGTAGGCATCCCCATAGAAATAATTTTGATAAATTCCACACATAAGGGATAAATTAAAGATAAAGCCGCAGGCAAAATCTAGTATATAATATGTATGTATTTACGAAAAAAAAATCAATGTATTTGTATCAATTGTCTAGTACCCATAACACAAGCTTTAGCTAGCTTAACTTGGGTCTAGATGGCGCTGTGTGAATTGTCCTGAGATTATTATTATTATTATTATTTATGTTGTATTGAAATATGAAAGAAAATGTGTAAATATTGGTTTCAGATTAAGAAAAAGTTTAAAACATCTGTATCTGGTGCATCCAACGTTCTGGCTGAAATCATTCGTCATACTCACCAAGCCGTTTGTAAGGTGAGGTCATTTTAAGTCTTAAAATCATTTCAAATAAACTCATTACAAGCACTTTTGAATAGTCATATTTTGATTCTACCACTCATTCGGAACGCAGACTCATCACAAGAAGAATGAGCGAGAAACTTAAAGAAAGAACGAAAAACATTTATTGACAACCATTATTACATTTACACATTTGACAAAGGTACATTTAAATAAATAATTATATATATATAGATATCTATATATATAATAACTCAAAGGTGACTGACAGTGATCTATCAACGCACAGCCCAAACCACTGGACGGATCGGGCTGAAATTTGACATGCAGGTAGATGTTATGACGTAGGCATCCGCTAAGAAAGGATTTTGATTAATTCTATTCCCATTCATTCATTCATTCATAATTTAAGAGCTGTGCTCTTGTCGGTGGAGCTCCCGCCACCTTCCACGATCTTCTATCAGTCCCTTTAGCTGTTGATACGACACGATTATCCCCAAGGGGATAAAATAGGGGATGAAAGTTTCTATGAAACTTTGTCAATTTTAAACCGATCGGGCTGAGACTTTGCATTCATAAAGCTACTATGACTTAGGCATCTCCTAAGAAAGGATTTTGATAAACTCCACCCTAAGGGGATAAATTAACGCGAGCGAAGCCGCGGGCAAAAGCTAGTAAATATATATGCACACCTTTTTATATAATAAATGAATAATTTATATTATTTATTCATTATTATCGCACGCCTCTTACTTGTTATTGTGTAATTATATATTAAAAAGAGCAACACACAAGTTTCTTCCTCATTCTTCTTGTGATGAGTCTGCGTTCCGGATGAGTGGTAGAATCAAAATATAACTATTCAAAAGTGCTTGTAATGAGTTTATTTGAATGAGGATTATTTCTACAAAACGTCGTCTCCTACAAAAATATATAATGTCTAGGTGATCCGCATGACTTCGTCTGCATCACACTTACATAACATTAATAATTATATGTCGCCCAATTTACATAATATCTTTTAAAATTATAGCCTATGTGTTATTCTCATGTATAAGCTATATTACTGAAAAGTTTCGTCAATATCCGTTCAGTAGTTTTTGCGTGAAAGAGTAACAAACATCCATTCATACTCACAAACTTTTGGCCTTTATAATATTATTAAGATATCCTTGAAAGAGTAACAAACATCCATACACACAAACTTTCGCGTTTATAATATTAGTAAGATATCCTCTTATTTATATTTCAGTTCAAAATTCTTCCGAAAACTAAGCTACGTACGGACCCTCGACGAGTTGATGCGGCTCGTGCCAGTGGAACCGAATGCTATACCCGATCAGGTGAAACTTTTCGACGCAGGAAAACGGTAGAAGGAACGCCCGTAAAGAAGGATACACTTACGTTGTCTCGAGACACAACCGTGCCTCATTTTGTATTATTTTTAATTTTAGTCCATTTTGAGGCAGGATGGTAATGTACTTGAGTTTTAGTACATTTTGAGGCAGGATATTGCAACTTAATGGATTTACATTATTTTTGTTAATTCCGCTACAATAGCATGTGTGAGACCACAAATATTCGGTGTGGAAACTTTCCTACCGTTACGACCTTCTCTAATGGTGATCAAATTCCGACCGTTATTGAGTCTACACCCATATCTCGTTTTGTATTATTCTTGACTTTAGTTCATTTTGAGGCAGGATGATAATGTACTTGAGTTTTAGTCCACTTTAAGACAGGATATTGCAACTTAATGGATTTATATTATTTTGTTAATTCCGCTACAATAGCATGTGTGAGACCACAAATATTCGGTGTGGAAACTTGACTACCGTTACGACCTTCTGTAATGGTGATCAAATTCCGACCGTTATTGAGTCTATAGTCACCTATATCGCGACACGTGTTTCGCCTCTGAACGAGGCATCATCAGATGTGGAATAGAGTTCGGCTCGGTTAAAACTATATGCTTGGAAGCCTAGTATTGACTGTTCGGCGATCAAACTGCTGCTTTTTTAAATTTTTTTATTGGGTTGTTTGGCCTATTGTCAGATGTGTAGCATCTGTAGCACCGCGACCTACATAGATCTATTGTGCTCGCCCTTTTTCAAAGTTCGCCACCTAGACCCGTCAGGGACAAGAATCGAAGGATATTCTTAGGAGCGATGGTTTTCATCTCCTCGGGAAAGAGTGTAAACTTTCCAAAGGAGATATTTCGTTTATGCATGAGTGGGCTACAACCACATAGGATGTGAAGTGGCGTTTCCTCTTCAGTTTGGCAGAATCTGCAGATACTTGTCGTGCATAGGCCTAGTTTAGCCATATGCTTGTTTAATTTGCAGTGTCCTGTGAGGGCCCTAGTCATCCATATGTTGTTTTTACTCAAACTGTTACTTGCGATTTGGTTGGAATTAAACAAAGTATAAATCCATGAAGTAGTGAAATGGACTTCCGCAAAATAACACCTAATTCTATAAAATATAGGATGATGAAGTACATGAATGTAGTCCACTTAAAGGCAGGAAGATAATGTAGTACAGTGGGTTTAGTCCACTTTAAGGCAGGATTATTACTGTATAAAATGGTTGATTCGAGGCTGCCTCGGTTTTCGTAAGACGGCTGACCTTGTTAAGTACAACATAAAGAAAGACTCTTCAACTTAAAATATTGCATAAATTATAAAATTATTAGAAAATCAAAGCAACGTTATTCAAAGTCACTTCCACAGATTGTCTTCACTAATCTACACAGATAACTAAAATTTACTTTACAGTCTATGCTTGACTCTATTCTTATCTGTCTCTTCTTTTTTTTCGTGTATTTTCTTATATATAAAATTCTCGTGTCACAATGTTAGTTACCATACTCCTCCGAAACGGCTTGACCGATTTTTATGAAATTTTATATGCATATTCAGTAGGTCTGAAAATCGGCTACTATCTATTTTCCATATCCCTTAGTGATAAGGGTTGTCCACTTCTGTAATTTCTTTTTGGGCGACATTTTTTATTTATATTTTTTATTATGTGTCATTAAAAAATACATACAACCCTAAATTTTGACCCTTCTATCACCAACCCCTATTTTCTTATAGCGTTATTAATTTATATGGCAAAACAACGTTTGCCGGGACAGTTAGTAATAATATTACATTCTATTTTCCAATTGTATATACATCGGTATTTTGGTATAGATATTTATATATATATAATATAATGATAAATAAAATATATAATTTAATAAATACCTGAATTTATAATTTAAAAAATATATATGTAAGTTTTCAATTACGAAAAATTAATTGAAAATATTCAATGTCTCAATTTTCTCAATGAAAACAAGATTATATTAATTTAATAATAAAAAAAATGTATAATTATTACTGTCTGGTATATTATGATGATAATCATATATGTTCTAGCTGACCCGGCAAACTTTCTGCCATATACAGTAATATCGCTAGTTAAAGTGATCTATTAATATAAAACAAAGTCACTCGTTCTGTCTGTTTCACCACTTCTAAATCATTCCGTTTGTGTGAATCAATGGAGTTTGATATATTTTTCATTATCACATTCATCCCTAATATTTTGACGCATTTTTAACTTCAGCCAGGAGTTGGCCTTCAGCCGCTCGTCCTTCCTTTGGTTTGGAGTCTGATCTGCTCTCGCACCCTATCCGGTGAAGCTGTAACGGCCAGCTGCGGCCAACAGCATTAGAGTAATCCGAAAAAACAGTTTATATGTATATATTAGGTCTCTCGACAAAACGCCAGAAACTGAAATACCATCCTGATCATCTGGATGAATGGCGGTCTTCCACAGTGCGGTTTTCTAGAAACTTTTTGCCTCACACAACCACATTGTGGAATCACCTTCCAGCAATGGTATTTCCGAACCGATACGATATTGAAACCTTCAAGAAAAGAGCTTATTCCTTTTTAAAAGGCCGACAACGTACTTGCAATTCCCCTGGTGTTGCGGGTGCTCATGGGCGGCGGTAATCACTTACCATCAGGTGAGCCGCATGCTCGTTTGTCCCTGTTATAAAAAAAAAATTAAACCATTCGTTGCTCTGTAAAACAAAGTAATTTTATTTATACATTCATAATTTTTTATGCGAACATATTACAAATTATAAACGTGTTAATCATAAGGTAATGCAACAAACATACCTGTAATATCACACACACATGCTCAATTCACTCTACGTTTAAACTTAAAACTAGATGTATAACAAATTTATATGAAGGGGAGACCTGGTGTCTAAGGTGCTTGGGCTCCAGATTTCCCACAATATATATTTGTGATTTATTTCAGGCAACTAGGCCCATATTATAAATACCTTATAGACTACCATACATATAATATAATATTTAAAAACTAATACAACGATATTGTCTGTGTGATCACGGCACTGAAGACGGCAATCTGCGGAGCGGTACTGCTGCAAGACGGTAGCGTCGATACACCACACCTTTCGGCCAGTAGTCCTCTTTCATGAAGGTGGGCAGCAAGTCGGTGGGGACCAGGGCCACAAACGCCTTGAAACTCGCGTTGTGACTCGACTTCAGCTGCGTTACCCTCAATGTCAGGTTACTCTTGGTACGAATATAATCGACAATGTCCTGCTCCTTAGTGGCGTAATGTAGACGGGACAGGTACATTGTCGTGGTCGGTGTAGCAGCATTATTATTGTTGGCATTTATATAATAGAACTGGAATTTGTGGAGACGAAATAAAATTTATTATATTATTACCTATAATATAATAGAAAGTCATTTATTCAAATAAACTTAATTTAAGCACTTTTCAATAGTCACAACAATTTCTTTTATCTACCGCTCGTTCGGAGATGTCTCATCACAAGACGAACGAGCAAGAAACTTGTGTGTTGCTCTTTTAAATAATCCTTGTAAGTTTACATTTACAAGTCGAAAGGTGTGAATACAACGAAAGGATATTTAATGTTTATTTGTCGATCTTATTCCACTGAAGCACTTTAATTTTCTAACACTCTCACTCACAATCTCAGTTTCACAATCCGCCATATTTGTTAGTCTTTACCAAATAGCGCCATCTATTGGAAGTCAATGAGAGAGTCATTGAGGTCTAACAACGCGCGTAAAAGCAAAGCGTAAAAGGATGCTAAGTAATCTAAATATATATAACTCAAAGGTGACTGACATAGTGATCTATCAACGCGCAGCCCAAACCACTGGACGGATCGGGCTGAAATTTGGCATGTGAGCGAAGCCGCGGGCAAAAGCTAGTCCTTTATATATATACTAGCTTTTGCCCGCAGCTTTGCTCGCGTTAATTTATCCCCTTAGGGGTGGAATTTATCAAAATCCTTTCTTAGGGGATGCCTACGTCATAGTAGCTTTATGCCTGCAAACTCTCAGCCCGATCGGTTTAAAATTGACAAAGTTTCAAACAAACTTTCATCCCCTATTTTATCCCTTGGGGGGATAGAATTAATCAAAATCCTTTCTTAGCGGATGCCTACGTCATAACATCTACCTGCATGTCAAATTTCAGCCCGATCCGTCCAGTGGTTTGGGCTGTGCGTTGATAGATCACTATGTCAGTCACCTTTGAGTTATGTATATATATATCTATACTAAATCTACATTCCAGTAATGACAAAGTAATACACGCTTGTATACTGCACTACTCAATAGGAGGTCGCCTTACACTATTTGTACAGGGTCGCCACTAGCTAAGAGTAATTTTAAAATAAACACAAAACCTGCAATAAATTTATAATTAAAATAACAGTATAAGTGTAAATTAGCATAGTAGAAACAAATGTTATAGTAGAAATCGATGGTAGAAATAGCACGTTATGGTAGAAATAGTTATTATAATTTAATATAGAACGCTGTCTTTTTTAGTGTTAAAGATCTCATGTTATGTTTGTTTGGTTACGTTAAATAGATGGGACCAGTACATATAGTTTTTGGGAGAAATTAAATAAATATATTACTATGAACTTGGGTAGTTGAAATGAAATATCGCTAAATATCATATTTCGATGCTGCAATGCAGTGTTTTTCGATCTGTGGGTCGCGACCCCTAGGGGAGACGTGATGTCTTTTTTTTTTATTTAATATTTTACGGCTCTGGATACAAGTCCATTTTAGCCCAACATAAAATACAAAATCTTAAAAAAATATTAAAATTTCTTCCCAGTGTTGGAAATAAATTTATATAAAGTCTTGAATAGTGCAGGCCTTGATAAGATCTCTTCTAGAGACTCTCGACTAGTATTGCCTGGTATGAAAATTTTCCCCGATTTTGGGCTAATTTAGAAGATAAGTCCCAAAAAGTGGGAAAAATTTTTTTCGACATTTCAAACAAAAGAATGA